GACTTCAGGTGGCAGAGCATTCCAGACTGATGGCGCCACTGCTGTAAAGGCTCTGCGTCTGGTTGCTGTTAGACGCAAGGTCTTGACACTGGGAATTTCCAATAGATCTTGGTCCTCAGAACGGAGGGATCTCTGGGGTTGGTAGGGGGTGAGGCGGTCCCTCAGATACATCGGCCCCAGACCATGCAAGGCCTTAAAGGTGAGTACCATCACTTTGAAAGTGATCCGGTGCTCAATTGGTAACCAATGCAGCTGTAGTAAGATTGGTGTTATGTGGCATCTCATCGGAATTCCCAAGAAGCCGAGCAGCTGCATTTTGTACCAACTTGAGCTTCCGGATCACCGACAGAGGAAGGCCAATGTAGAGGGCGTTACAGTAGTCCAGTCTTGAGATGACCGTGGCCTGGATCACCGTAGCTAGGTCGTCCCTGGACAGGTAGGGGTCCAGCCGTCTAGCCTGCCGCAGATGAAAGAAGGCGGTTCTGCTAATGGCGGAGACCTGGGCCTCCATCATCAGCAGAGGGTCCAAAAGGACTCCCAGACTCTTTACCAATGATGATGGGCGTAGCGCCTTACCATCCAGGGTAGGCAGCTGGATATCCCCACTGCCCGGTCGACCCAGCCATAGGATCTCTGTCTTTGCTGGATTCACCCTCAACCTGCTGGCATGCAGCCATCCAGTAACGGCCTCGAGGCACTGATGGAAACAATTGGGTACAGAGTCCGGTCAGCCTTCCATCTTCAGCACAAGCTGAGTGTCATCAACGTACTGGTAACACTCAAGCCCAAAACCTCGAACCAGCTGAGCAAGTGGTCGCATATAGATGTTAAACAACAGAGGGGAGAGAATGGCCCCCTGAGGAACCCCACAAGATAGAGGGGACCTCTCAGAGACCAGGCCTCCCCTCTCCACTCGCTGTCCACGGTTGTGAAGAAAGGAGGACAGCCAGTTTAAAGCTGTCCCCCTGACTCCAGCAACAGCAAGGCGGTGGTCAAAAGATTGTGGTCGACTGTGTCTAATGCTGCTGTGAGATCCAATAACACAAGCAGCGCTGACCCGCCCTGGTCAAGCTGGCATCGAAGTGCTCCGTGATGGAGACCAGCACAGTCTCTGTCCCATGCCCCACACGGAAGCCGGATTGGAAGGGATCTAGTCCAGCTGTGTCGTCTAGGAATTGCTGCAACTGCTCCGCTGCTGCCCTCTCAATCACCTTGCCCAGGAACGAGAGAGTTATGTGTGTACTCACTCCATAAACCCCCTAATCAAAGCTTTTAAATGTCTAGAGGCCACAGTGGCGCAACAGGTTAAACCATTGAACTGTTGAATATGCTGGCCTAAAGGTTGGCTGTTTGAAGGGGTAGGTCGGGGTGAGCTCCCGCTGTTAGCCCTAGCTCCTGCCAACCTAGCAGTTTGAAAATAGGAACTGCTTTGGCAGGAAGGTAATAAAGGCACTCATGCAGCCATGTTGGCAACACAACCAGGAGGTGTCTACGGACAATATGCCCCCTGACTTGGAAATGGAACAAGAACACCTCCCCATGGCCAGAGTTGAGCACCGCCTCCAAAAAGCCGGAAATGAAAGGGGAAGCCTTTATCTTTGTTCTGTGTATTGTATGTCATTGTTATTCCACTGTCTTAAGGCATTGAATGTTTGCCTATCTGTGTATGTTGTAATCTGCTCTGAGTCCCCTTGGGCAGACAGAGTGGAATATAAATAAAGTGTATTATTAGTATTATTATTAACTTGGCTTCCCACTTCTATCATCAATGATTCATTATGCAAAATGAGCCTTGTATTGAGACTTATAGCTCAGATTTCATTGGAGAAAAAAAGAGGAAGCAAAATTACAAAGTTCATTCAAGAATAAATCAAATGCAAAAATCAATTAAAAAGCAAGCCAATATAAGGAGGAGCCACATCATAGTGATAGCGCCCATGCAGTAGGATCCAGGTTTAATCTTAGGTCTAAAACTCTATAGAGATTTACTGTTAAGCAACATTGACAATAGTCAGCTAGAAGAATACATGGACTCTGCAGTTTGACACACTGTTAATTGCCATAGTTCAATGCTATGGAACCTTGGGAGTTGTAGTTTGGTGCAGTACCAGCATTTTTTTTGCAGATTAGGCTAAAGACCTTGTAATACCATAACGCCCACGATTCCGTAATATTGAGCCATGGTGATTAAAGAAGAGGAGAGCGAGCGAGAGCATGGGTCTATATTTACTAAGAAGCTGTAGATCATAATTTCCCTGTTTTTGCACCATCATTTTTATGAGCAGTTAAATGTATGCGCACAATTAAAAGAGCTTGCCAGATAGAAAAATAATTTTAATCTATTCAACTGCACATTGCCACAGGGACTATACATTTGCCAGGCATGGCTCTGTAACTAAGCAAATTTTTTATTAGTCACTACTTTCCAAGGGGGAATTATTTTCATTGGACGTCCCTTGGTGTTTCTTTGCAAGGAAAACAATATCAAGGCTTCAGTCTTATTGAGTGCAGAAGTGTTGTTGGAAGACAGACAATTTTACATCCACTTCCTGGGAAAAAAACCCCCTTGTAATTAGATAAAAGCGGTTGCATACTTTTTATGTGCAATACCCTCTTCTTTTACCATCAAGGATTCACCTACCTGAACTTGTTCACCCAATGCTGATGATGCTTCTTTGATTTTTCTCTGATAGTTATGATATATTATATTGCAGCAAAGCTTGGCTTTAGAATAAAGTGATATTATTAGAGGTCCCAGCTTTTGATCCCACAGATGTATTGGACTTAAAATTCCTGGTTATTGCCATGTTGGCTGCAGTTTCTGAAACCTGAAGTCCAAAACATCTGGAATACAAAGTTAAGGACCACTCTGGCTGGATTTACACTGGCCTATAATCCAATTTCAGAATGTGGATTAATTGTATCGATCTGGATTATAGGGCAGTGTAGACTGATACAATCCAGTTCAATGCAGTTATTCCACATTCTAAAACTGGATTATAGGGCAGTGTAGATCTATCCTTGGTTCCATTCTTTCCTCAAATATTTTTGCTGCCTCGTTTGATAAAACACTACAACTGCCTGCAGTTATTGAAAACTGTAACAACTGAAACTCCAATAGCATTTTGTGTCGTGCACAGAGCCTCAGAAACCCAAAGCATCTGCTCACCCTCACCTCTTTTCTTGTATAGGAAGATCTGATTGTAACATTATGCCTCTAAGGTCCCTTCCCTGCCCATCTCCTTAGTTTGCAACCATAGGATGGGGGAAGAGATAGCAGATTGCCGGTTCAAGGCATCCAGCAGAAGAAGACCACTTAACTTCTCGCAGAAACTCTCTGGATCTGAATACAAGCCTATAAGATTGTCCCACCTTAGAGCAGGGCAACTCCACAACTTTGGAAAGTCTAGAAAGCAGTGAAGGATTATAGTTCTAAAACATTTTATTCAATTTATAGTCCCTCTGTAGAGGTTGAGAAGACCGGGTATAAAAGTTTTAAATAAATAAATAAATAATTTGCATAGTGAAGGTCCAAAGGGAAGGGGGAGGGGAGGGAATACTTCTGTCTGAAATATTATAGTACTTAGTTTATGTCCTGAAATGGGCTAACCCAGGGTTCCTCAAACCTTTTTAAGCAGAAGGCTGGTTCACAGTCCCTCAAACTGTTGGCTAGACTATCGTTTGAAAAATACACAAATTCCTATGTACACTGCACATATCTTATTTGTAGTGTAAACACACACACACATGAAAGAACAATACAATATTTAAAATGAAGAATATTTTTAACCAGCATAAACGTACTAGTATTTTGGTGAGAAGTGTGGGCCTACTTTTGGCTGATGAGTCAAGTCAGTTAGAATCATTGTTGTTGAGTGCCTTCAAGTACTTTTTAGATTACCCTAATTCTGGATTTGGCCAACAGGCCTTAGTTTGACTAACCATTTGCTTTTTTGCCACTCTAGTCAGAGAAGGGGATGGTTCCCATTTGATAACAATACTGTGATAAAATTCTTTCTCTGAGCAGAGTGACAAAATGCCTTTTCGAATGCATTAGCAGAAAAATAATGGTGTTGGTAGCCAGGAGTGGGGCAGTACTGGTGCCTTTTTGTGAAATGACTTTTGACTTACTAACAGGTTATATTATTTATTTATTTATTTGGGCTTCGACGTGGGACTGTCCCTGGGATTGCTGTATGGGAAGATGTTCAGCCAGACCGCCATCTGCCACTTTGAAGCTTTGCAGCTCAGCTTCAAGAACATGAGCAAGCTGAAACCTCTCCTCCAGCACTGGCTGAAAGAAGAGGACAGGAATGAGAACTTGTAGGAGCTCTTGGAAACGCACTTGAGCACTTTGGTGTATGGAGAGGAGGAGGAGGAGGAGGAGGAGGAGGAGGAGGAGGAGGAGGATTAAGACATTTCAGTTCCACCAGAATGCTGGCTAACCTATCTGTAGTTCCCTGCTACTGTGGTACATGAGAAAAACAACCTTGATAGTCATTTTAATGTATTTTAATTGCCTTTTCTAGGTGTTAAGTTTAAATGGTTAATTGCTGTTATTAGTATAATTGAATTTATTCGATTATTTGTATTTGGTCCTCATTTTGGTGTTAATTTCTCTTTTGTAACAAGTTTATTGTTATTATTTTTGTATTATTCTGTTTGTTTTAAAATATTTGTATTTGAGTTTGGGCATTGAATGTTTGCCTTCTTTGTGTGTAAACCGACCTGAGTCCCCTTGGGGAGAGAGGGCGGGTCTATAAACAAGGTTGTTGTTGTTGTTGTTGTTGTTATTTACTATATTTATATCCCATCTTTTTCGACCCCGAGGGGGACTCAAGGTGGTTTAAAGCATAGGCCATAATTCAACACACACACACACACGCACACACACACTCCTCCTATAGGTAGTAATTAATTAAGCAAGTACCGTGTGATTCTCATTGAGCAAAACATGGATTTCAGAAGGAAGGCACCAGCAGCACTGTATTCTCTCTTACCTCTTGTTCCTGTCCTCTATCTGCAGGATGTACACCATGTCATCAGCCGTATGCTGCTTGGAGCTGCTCTCCCCCCACTTCAGCTTCAGGCTCTGAGGTCCTGCCGCAGTACACTCCAGCCGAGGAGGTAAAGGTGGCAACGGCCTGGTCTTGGCCTTAATGGAGTGGCTAAAAGGACCAGCTCCAATGTCATTGACAGCCTGAATCCGGATCCTACGATTGGAAAACACCAAGAAGACAAAGACTTATTTTTATATTATCTGATTTTTGCYCTTCTCTGAGCAAAAGAATCTATAAATATATATTTAATCACAAAGAAACATGTAAGGTAAAAAAATAATAAATTTTGCATCATTTGGGCATATTGCATGCCACTGTAGCTARAACATTCCCTGGAATAACAGATTGTGATGAGGGAATATGATGGGTGATGACAGTATCTCCAACATTGTCTTGARAGAATATTTTGGTTCACTTCATTAATTCACAATATTATTGTTATGAATTTCATGTTATTTAACAATTGTAATAGATTTTGAGACAATTTGTCTTTTTGAAACAAGGATTATATATAATGTATCACAATTTGGACATTAAACCCAGTGTGCAACTCCTATTTTATTCAATTTAGGTTTAGTGGCACTTTTCTACTAAGGAAGGACGACTAAAATGATCAAGGGTCCTATGAGGAGTGGCTTAAAGAGCTGCGCATGTTTAGCCTGAAGAAGAGAAGGCTGAGAGGAGACATGATAGCCATGTATAAATGTGAGAGGAAGTCATAGGGAGGAGGGACCAAATTTGTTTTCTGCTGTCCTGGAGACTAGGAAGCTGAACAATGGCTTCAAACGACTAGAAAAGAAATTTCATCTGAACATTAGGAAGAACTTCCTGACTGTGAGAACTGTTCAGCATTGGAACCTTCTGCTCTGGAGTGTGATGGAGGCTCCTTCTTTGGAGGCTTTTAGGCAGAGGCTGGGTGGCCATCTGTCGGGGGTGCTTTGAATGCAATTTTCCTGCTTCTTGGCAGGAGGTTGGGCTGGATGGCTCATGAGGTCTCTTCCAACTCTACGATTCTATAAGATTATAATGCAAGCCATCCAAAAGAACTAATGGCAGTGGGACGTTGGTATTTGTTGTGGTTTGGTTCCAAGACACCTCCCACCCACATGGATAGAAAATCTGGGGATGTTTAAGTTCCATTATATAAAAAAGTGCACGAAAATGGTGTCCCTTATATAAAATAGCAAACCCAAGGTTTCTGCTTTGGATTTCTTTCTCTTTTATTTTGGAATATTTTCAAGCTATGGATAGTGAAACCCCAGTCCAGCCATGAGGGAGATGCCTGGGTGGGCAACAATGGTGCCCAGTTTATTTTATAGAGCTCTTAGGCAAGAATCACTCATGGAGGACTGTCCCCAAACCCTAGGACCAGGGAGCGGCTTGTAATTTAGTCTAAAAATTTAGTGTGGACCCAAGCCAGTCCCTTCGTGGTGCGCCAATTGTTACAGAACTAAAATTTAGGGTCTTTGCCAGGAGGCAGAGACCAATTAGACTCATCACATGGGTGCAGAATCCATGAATATGGAGGACTGACTGTATTACCACTTGAAAAAATAGGCATAAAATTAATACAATAGCAATCATGAAAATAATAATAACAATAATAAAGACCTACTAAATAAATAATAATAAAACCAAAGCAGATCATTTGATGAACCAATCTGGAAACAGCATATTATTAAAGAACACAGAAATGTTGGGCCACTATAACAACTTCCGTGTCAGACTATACAGAGAAGCCATTGAAATCCACAAGTATGTGGAAAATTTCACCACAAAGGAAGAAACCATGAAAATGAACAAAATCTGGCTTCCAGTATTAAAAAACTCTAAAATCATAAGAGTAAATAAAGAACAACACTCAAAAAATAGGTGACATCCAGACAAGAAAGAATCAGGACCAAGTAATCACCTCTCAACAAAGGATTTTCCCAGGCAGTAAGAAGCCAGACCTTGAGATTGCTAGGCCATTTAATGCGAATGAAAACAACCAATTGAAACATTCACACTTACTTCCAACAGACAAGAATTCTTTCTCCCACCCTGGAGATTCCACAGATATATAAACCCCATTTTCCTACTTTCCAACACACCTCACAACCTCTGAGGATGCCTGCCATAGATGCAGGTGAAACATCAGGACAGAATGCTGCTGGAACATGGCCATACAGCCCAGAAAACTCACAACAACTTAGTGATTCTGGCCATGAAAGCCTTCGACAATATAATGTTTATTTGCACTCTCCACAAGGAGACTCAATAATATTACCTGAACCCAAAGCAGCTAAAAGCCACATACAGGGCCTTTGTAAGCATTCATTTTCATTTTATTCTGTTCATTGATTACTCCAGTTAGCATGGTGATTAAGCAAGACTTCAGACAGGCCTCACTTGCTTTCAGAAACTGGTGAATCAATTTATTTTTTTGAGTTTCCCTTGTTTACCCACCTTCTATTTCTGTTTACTCATATTAAGATGGGTTTTTGCTACTCCAAATTCAGTAATAATGGCAAAATCACACCTTTTTGCATGTAATCAAAACAGGTTTCTGACAGTGTGATCCAACTGAAAAACATGAGCTTCTCACAGCCTTGTTTACATGGTAAGAGGCATTCATTTTGCCACCAATACAGATGAGTCAACAAGAGTTGCTGTGTGTGTGTGTGTGTGAAATCCTGGGATATCCACTACAGCCCCTGGAAGAGGCTTACTGTTGGAAATCTCTTTATTCCAGACTGACTGTAAGAAATCCAGTTCTCCTCACCCTTGTTGTTGCTATTATTACATGCCTTCAAGCTGACTTTGACTTTCATTCATTCAGAGATTTACCACTGCCTTCTTTTAGAGCTGATTGAGTTTAACTTGTCCAAGGTCACCCAGTGCATTTCAATGACCGAAGGGGATTTGAACCCTGATTTCTCAGAATCCTAGAGCAACATTCAATCCATTATACTACACATACTCTCTTTCCTTTAATCCTAATGAGCTAAAACATACACACAACAGCCATAAGTTCTGCATAGCTGCATAAGTCTTTAAGCAGATCTTTTAGATTTCAAGTTTAGGAAGACCTCAGAACAATTTTAATAATAGTGATAATTGCAGCTGGCACTCCATGTTCTATTTTTGTTTCATTTATAAAACGGATCAAATTGCAGGAAAAGGACAGTTGGGGAGCCCTTCCTGGCCACAAATTACACTCTGTTGGTAATACAAAGTTTTTGCAAGTTAAGAACATACGATAAACGTATGGAGCTGTCCACTGTTATATGAAGGTAACAAGTTGCACGGTCTTCAAAATTCTTCAAAAGATCTTCAAAATTCTAATGCATTCATGGCTCATGCCAATTTGTTTCTTGTTTGTCTTTTTGGTAATAATCCATTTTGATCTCTTTGTGTTATTCCATTTAGTATTTTATTCATTCTTTCTGCTACTATAGCTGTAAAGATTTTATAATAGTTGCTAAGTAATGAAATTGGTCTATAGTTGGCTGGTTCCATCTCATCCCTGCCCTCTTTATGAACTAACCTTATTGTGGCGTTTTTACATCAGTAAGGAAAACTTATCACAGGGTTTTCTTGGTATGATTTCTTCAAAGTGGGTTTCCCTTTGCTGCCCTCTAATGCTGAGAGAGCATGGCTTGTTCAAGATCCTCAGTGGGTTTCCATACCTAGCTTAAATCCCACCCATCAAACCAACTTTTGAATCCTAAATTGTTGAAGAGTAGGACTTGTCAGAAGTTCTATCTTGTTGCCATCCCCCTGGCCTTAGGAATAAGAGAGCAACCTTTGGACCCAGTTAATCTCTACAAGGGGGAGAAGTTGAGAACCCACTAAAAGGAGAAAAACTAGGAGACATAAGTTGCAAGACATCAAAAAGTCTGCAGTTGTCTCCTTTTTTTTTTTTAAAAAAAAGCAGGCTTTTATTTCCAGCTTGCACATATTGATATTGCTGCTGCAAAGTGCATTGGTTGTGTCCCTGCTCCAGATGGGCTGTCAGCCAGCGCTGCTCCCCTTGGCCTCTCTTTTACTTCATGCCATTTCCCATCCTAAAGTATGGTAACAACGCTGCCCAACATTTCTGCCCTTGTTGTGCCTTTCCCCAGTTAGACAAATAAACACCAAAGAACCAACCAAGGGAGGACACTTGAAATCAAATAGCCTCCAAACTCCTTAAAGTTTGCACTTTGCACTGTTGACAATCTCCAGCAGGTCTTCTGTTCTTGAGCCAAATTAGGACAATTACTGCTTATCCTCACTTACTTCCCTGAATGATAGCTATGGAGCTAAGAAAGGGTGTCGTAATATTGATCGGTTGATTGGAGAACAATGTTTCATGTCACAAGGTGGCTAAAAGGACAGCCAGGTTATTGCAGAATTGCCACATACGCATCCCAGAGCCGCAGGAAGACCTTGAGGATATCTGGGAATTTAATGAACACGATAACCAGGACCATCAGGAGGAGAGTCAAAAGGGAGCATTACAGGATGAAGAAATTCCTCCGCCTTGGCCTTTTTTTCAAATAGTGATCCACACAGTCGGCAAAGAAGTACTTCTTGGGGAGTAGCCCAGCTCCGCATGTGCTTTGTCTATCTTGAAGGTGTCCGTGCAAGAGATGTTGTGCACCTCGTTCTTGGTGATCCAGCCTTCTCCTTTTGATTTGAGCAACAAGGAAATGAAGGGCTCTCCTCCAAGACTTGGGTAATTTGTATGAGACTACTGGATGGAGTGCAGTGGATGATGTGGCCCACCTCAGGCAGCAGAAAAGAGGACAAAGCTGTTTATTTGTATTGCATTTTTACCAAGAGGGCTGCCATTTGGAGGTATATGGTTTTTTGTCTCAAAAATAAACAGGTTTTAATTGTCTCTGTCTGCGGGGACAATTAGTGCAGTAATGTTAGAAGACTCAGCAGTCTGGATTAGAGAGGAACATTTGTTTACATTTATCTGATACCTTCATACTTTGTTGATGCTGATAGCACTCATAATTAAACTTGCAATAACCCAGTTGTCAAGCTGTTCAACTAGAACAGGTATAATTCATTTTGTGGCTGGCTGAGTTGGCCCCATATTTTGTACACTGGGAAGTGTGAGAACAAAAGTAGATCTGGTGAATGGCTCAATTTGCCACCTTCTTTCTTTCAAGAACACAAAACACATTGCTGCATAAATAAAAGCATCAGAAGTACTCAATTTGATGCCTCTTTGCAATGATAAAGTTACAGATTCTATCACAGAGAGCTTTCCATAGTCATTTAAAGGATTCCATTAGTAGAGCAGCTCTACCTCAAAACATTAATGGATTTCAAGGCTAACTAAGCCGTAACTTAGCCATGCATTAGTTTTACAAAATCAGTTAGCATGAGACCCAAAATAGCAAGGTGAGGGCAGAAAGAAGGAAAAAATCTGCTGGTTCTACAAAGGGTTATGAAGCCAAGTCTGGCAAAAAAACAAAATAAAACAAAAAAAATAGTAGATTATTTGGACGTTCAGTAAAAATAGAAGAATGGGAAAGAATTTGGAATAACAAATTAAAAATTACATATTCATGTGATCTTAAAGAAAATTGGTACAAAATGATGTACCAGTGGTATGTAATATTAAGAACAAATACAAAGAGATGGAGTAAAATACACTAAGAAATGGAGTGGAAACAACAAAACAGGCTAAATACCTGGATGAAACAGATTGGAAGCCTTCTATTTTTTTTTTTATTTTCCTCCCCCCCTCAATTTGCTGAGCTCACAAGAGCTTTTTATCTTTTGTAAATAATTTATTTTTCTCTTCCAAGAGGGAGTGGGCAGAGTTTATGAAGACTGGCTGACCACTGTCACAAAAAATGCTGGTGGTTTCTTCACTCACCTAAGGACATCATCAACTCCCAAAAAACCCCTGTTTTCTAATTCTGTCTGAACCAGAGACTGGATATGGAGACCTTGGAATTGATCAAGTGAGAACTAAATTCAAATTTTGTATCAACTCACAACTCAGTGAAATACTCTGGGTTGACATTTCCTCAAGCCCAATAAAGGTCATAAAACAGGCTGCAGGTTCTTAATGGGCAAAAATTACTTATAATGCATTCTGTGTGCACTACCATGCTCCTTGCCATTATTAGCAATAATTTGAATTGAAGAGCTATTGTGCTGAGGACGGGACGACTTTGAGCAATTTCAGAATTTCAAAATGACATTTGCCACCTGACCCCTTACCAGCATTCATTCTTAAATTGAAATAATTTCTCAGAAGTCCACAGGGGAGAAAATCATAATAATTACCAGTTAAGCCACCTATTTATCACTGCAGACACATTAGCAGAGTTAATATGCAAAATTAATAATTACTGCTCAGGATCTGACAAACAAATGTATTGCACAGAACAATGAAGCATCATTATGCTCTAGTAACCTCTAATTGTTTCCTACACTTAAGGTGTAGATAGTAATTAGTTTAATATTTGCTTATTAATATTTATACTATAATAGTTATGGTTGATTTAAAGCACTGAAAGGCAAAAATGCTCAAATCTCTGAGTGAAGGAAAAGCAATTAATCATCCATCAAAAGTCTGAAAGCTATTTGTGGGCAGGAACTTACAGCAGGGAGCATGAGTTCAAAAAACCTTTGGACAGAGAACCCACCAATACAAGCTCCAGGCTTATTCCTTTTTGGTGCCAGCACCACAAGAGATTGCAAAGCAGCAGCAAATGTTAATGTAATAGAAACAAGAACCTCCTGTCCATTTGCAACACAGAGACATACAGAGAATGGTCAATGAAAGCCATCTGGTAGAGTGAGGTGAGAGACAGAGCTTTCCCGACAATTTGACATGATGATAAACTGGGGAGAAAGAGGGCTGCATTCCCCTCCAGGAACAAATGGTTTCCTGTTACAAGTGGCTATTTGCAGACCTTCCAATGTGGGAAAGCATTTGGTTATTCCACCCCAAACAACATGTATTGGGCTGTCTCTTTGATGAGTAAAGCAATTTTGGAAAAAGAAGAGCCAAGCATCTTAAAGATCCTAATAGTGAAAAAGGAAAATGATTCCCATGGTCATTAAGAGGACAGGGCAAGGTAATTTCTGCTTCACATTTACCTCTGAACCAACATGGCTTTCATCACTGCAACTGATGTCACTGTTTACAAACCTATCACGATGTAAAGAGTTTTGACTGAATCCGATTGATAGTCCAAACTAAAGTAGACCCATTAAAATAAGTTGCTGACCTGTGAGATATAAATCTCACTGATTCAATATCTAGCAAACAGCTGTTTAGTTTCATCATCTCACCTTTTAATTGCATACTGAAATTTCTCCATTTGGAGTTCAAAACAGGCAAAGTCAAGATTTCTGAAACCTGCTACTTTCATCGTTGCAAATCTATCATCATGTAAAGAGTTGCAAACCTATCACCATGTAAAGAGTTAGGACTGAAACCAATTGGTAGTCCAAACTAAAGTAGACTCATTAAAATAGTTGATAATCTGCAACTGAATAATGACACAAATCTCACTGAATCAATATTTAGCTAGGACTAGCAAAGACCATCATCCGGCTAGTTTCATCATCTCACCTTTTTATTGCTTACTAAAATTTCCTCATTTGGAGTTCAAAACAGGCGAAGTCAAAACCTGCTCTATATAAGATAAATTATTGTTTGATTCTTTAAAAACCATCCTGGAAAGCTCATTGACATCAGAGTGTAAAGCTGTTCAATCTCTAGTGAGCAGCCCTTGACATTTACACTTACCGGAATGTGGTTTCAGGAAGCAGGTCACTGATGACAAAACTCGTGACATTACCCACTGGCATGATAATATCACCAATGTCAATGTTGTAAGAAGTAATCTCAGAGCCATTATTGCACGGTTCTTCCCAGTTCAAAACAAGGCACACAAAGGGTGATAGTGGATCAGTATCCAAGTGCTCATCGTCTGATATGTAGAGGGTGGTCACAGCATCAGGTACAGATGCTGGAGCTCTGCAGGTGACAAGGTCACTGTACGGTCCTGCCCCTGCCTGGTTTATTGCCTGGAGAATAAAATACACATTTCTATTATTTCACATGCTATTCACTTCCAACAAGAATCAATGTATGGATGCTACATGTACATGCAGAAGCCTATTGATCAAAGCCAAGCTCAAACTCAACTTGGACTTGTTAAGCCTACTGCTCATTTCTCAGTATCCATTCCCCATTTGTAAATGCTGAGAGTAAAATCAATGTCAGGGCAAGCATGAGGACTGTGGCATGGTTTGGAAATTCAGTTGTACTTTCTAAGCCAAGAGAGAGCCAGTGTGGTTGTGGTTTGAGCATTGGCCTACAACTATGGAGACTAAGGTTCAAATTCCATTTTAGTCATGAAACCTCACTGGTTAATCTTGAGCAAGTCACACTCTCAGTCCTGGAGGGGGAAAAGGCAACCTTCCTCAGAATTATTCTTGCCAATAAAATCCCATGATAAGTTTGACAGGTTTGCCAAAAATCGGAAACTTCTCGAGGGCATAAAATGTTGAGAAGCCAACACATCTTTTGCAATAGAGGAAGAAAGCAAAGGTAGTATTTACATTCTTTCTCAGAAGCCATGATCCTTAAGCAACAATGGAGATAACCATTGTTTTGTTTTACAACTACATTTGTTATCCAAACACTTTCAGCCTCCAAAACCACAAACTATGAAAACAAGATAACATTTTATTTTGCTCTCTTGTCCCTGCCCCCCAATATTTCTACAACAAGACATTGTGTTTATTTTATCCCTGAAAGGGCATTTGACCAACACCACACCAGAGAAATTAACAAATGTCAGGGAGACTGTAAGACATCTGTTCAGATGCAAAAGTGAGTGAACTACACTTTTGGATTTTGTTTGTTTGTGAAAATCTCATTTCAAGGGACTTGTTCTAAGTGCTACTTCTCTCCTTTCCTTATTTTCCACTTACAGTATGAGCCTTTATTTTAAGGTTATTTTTCTACCCATATCCCTGTTATAGTGGGAAACTGTGGCCTTCCAGTTGATGTCGGATCACAACTGTCACCATCCATGATGATTGGTATCATCGCTGAAGCTGAAAGAAGTAGTCCATGTGAAGGACTACTTGCTGCCCAATGGAAATATTTACTTATTTGGGTTTCTAGTGACTGGTTTGTGTTGAATTAAAAAATTAAATGTCTTTGAATACATTATCACTGAAAAAAGAGCAAATGGACAAGTTTAAATGAAGAAAGAGTAAGGAGATTGGGATTTTTTTCTCTTATTTGCCACTTTACTATGCCAGCCCCTCCACTTAGCCTTTTCCCATCCAACCAGTCTCCTTGATATATGATTCTTTTCTAAGAGAAAGGCTAAAGAAAACTTACTAAGGAGTAACTTAAGTTGAACTTAAACACAAGGCTTTTGTGAATCAAAGGTTATTAAAGGGACAAACCAATGAAACAATGGTGCATTTTGAGCAATCAAACTTCACCATTCACATCATTAATGTTTTAATTTAATCTCACTGCTGAGCTGTCTAAAATATGCAGCCAACTGTAATGTTTAGAAGGTACTCATGTTTTGCAAAAACTGATCATTCAATGGAATTAAAGTTTGAAGCATCTGGAACAACCCTATGATGCATTTATTTTGTTAAGGTCGAGTTATGACTCAAATGCTATGGTGTAATGGATTTCAAGTTTGCTGAGAACAGAGAAGGCTAAACAATTCTAGGATTCCAAAGCATGTGTCATGGCAGTTAAAGTAGTGTCAAACTTTATTAATTCTACAGGATAGATGCATCTCTAGAAGACTAATCCCTCAGTATTTTTACCTCGGTCCCAATTCAGTTGCAAAAATACCACCATGTCACAAACAAGGTATGAAGAAAGCAGAGGGTGAATGAAAGTATTAGTATAAGGCTCTAAAGAAGTATCGTTGGTTTACCTGTAGTCTACAGAAGTAGTGTGCTGCTGCCGACAACTGGCTGATTTCAAAGGAGTTGCCAGTGCCGCTGTACACCAGTTCTAAGGACTCTTCATCTTCCCCCCACTCCAGTCTGTATTCTGAGATGTCAGCACCAAAACTCTCAGGATTCTGTAACACAGAGAATGTTCAATCATATTTGAACCTAAAACAGACTTTCATAGGTTAAAGAAAGAAAAATGAGAGAGAGATGGGGGGGGGGGGAGATAAACAGACAGAAAATTTTGAACACTGGCAGTCCATATGGTTCTGCGTATTATGTTTTTCCTTGAAAGCTGAATTTAAAAATCAAGGAAATAGGGAATTCTACAGGAAAATTAAGTGGGAGGCAAGTAATCTTGATTGATCTAGTTATCAGGCTGTAAGTAATGTGGTTTTTAACCATTTGGGACAAGGAGATGGGTCGCAGGCAAGACCTCAGATTTGTGGCCCACATAATCTTCCATCATAGACTCTATTGTTGCATCTGGTTGGCAACTCTTTGAATCCTTTCAATGTGTTTTGTAACCAAAACCATCTCCCATGCAATCTCTATATAGGGAAGAGGTGGGAATCAAGAAAAGTCCTCACACTGAATGTTTGCAGAAAGTCTTCACATTGAGTGGGTTAAGAGCAATAATTAACACATTCAGTGGTCCAAGTGGTTGGATACAAGCAGAGATCCCTGAAAGCACCTCCTTATGACAAAAACAATAAATAGATAACCAGATAAAGTCTACTCCCTCTATGCTGTCCTTTTCTATATGCAAAGTAACCTGTTCTTTGCTGACACTCCCCTCCAAAGAAAACAAATGCAGGAATATAATTTGCACTTGCTCCAATTGCCAGTGGAATGGACCTTGTCATCTTTCCCATGCACCTGATGTCCAGTAAAAAAGACAGGGGCAGATGGGAGTCATGATCATGACTAAGAGATCATAAATACAGAACAATGACAGATGAGTAAATCTAGGTAAGAGTTCTGTATTCAATATCATTACTTAGTCATCATTTTGACACTAATACCACAATCATAACTCCTCCTCTTTACTCATTTTACTGAACACATTTCCCTCAGGTTTTATTTGTGTGTTGGGGTCTGTGTGTGTGTGTGTGTGTGTGTGTGTGTCAGGCCAGGAGCATTTAACGTGTTAACAAAGTCAACTAAGTAGATGACATTGAATATCAGCCATAATTACTGCCATTTTAAATGTAGAGAAGTATGGTAAACACAGCATTTCTTCACAGTCGATCACATCATTATAAGGATGCTACCAATTGATTCTACTAAGGGATATGTCTGATGTCTACTTCTTTAAGCAAAGTAGAAACATAAAGTACAGCAAAACCATTCTGCTTACCTCCCAGGTAGCAAGTACACTTGTTTCAGAGAGGAAGGTGAGGCAAGGAGCTTTGCACTGCACAGGAGGCCCAGTGGTGGTTGTGATGGTTGTGGCTTCAGAGTAAGTCCCATACTAAGGAGGAGAAAACACAAACATAAATACTACTTGTTATTATTATTTTTATGGCTGAATCTCCAACATGGGAATATCTGAAAGATGAAGGCAACCCACCAAGTATGAGTAAACCACATTCAATGGTGTAATCCCAGCAGTTCAAGCATCACCACCTTCTGCCATCCAATTTCTCAAAAACTTTGAATATTTCTTGAACACGAGTGATAAAACTTGTGCATAGACTATTATGCACACCAAGACACACATCTGACATATTTGATTTTATAGCTATCATAATTTCAAAATCTGAACATGTCGACCTTTAATGCTTTACCTTTTAAACAATTTCCCAAAGTAATGTAATATTTACATTTGGGATCCTGCACTTGATAATTTTCTCTGCTCCTTTCTGACTCAGTCTTCTTAGACTTCAAAAACTTCTCTTACCAGCTCCTTATTTGTGATTTATCATTCATCTTTCTGTACTGAAAATATTTTAACAAGGTGCGAAGAACAACAAGCTCCTTAAAATACATGCAAGATATTAATTAAATTAATTATTGCATGCACTCATGATAGAGCTGCAGTGTGTCAGCCACGTTTCCTCCAAGGGCTGATATCAATCATACTTTGTCACTTATATATTCTGGCTTGATGCCTCTTCCTTACCCCTCCATCATTCAGAGCTCTCACTCTGAAGTGATACGTTGTTCCAGGAAGAAGATTGCTCACAGTGCATTCGAGATCAGGACCATGATAAACTTCTGAAGTCACTTCTTCAGGTTCAGTCATTTCTACACTATATGCAGAGATATGATGACTATTTTCTGACACAGGAGGAGCATCTGGAAAAGAGACATTGCAATGATTAGTATAATTCTCATAAATCGGTATCGCTGTTATACCAGAGGCCAAAAAGCACAAATAATTGTTGTTATAATTTCATTGCTTTCATCTAATAAAAGTGGCAGATGAGGCAGAAGCTTGCAATCTGATCGCTTTTGAGTGTTTTGGATTGCATTTACCATAATTTCTGACCACTGGGTTTAGGAAATCAACAAGGCCATAACATCTGTGCAGTGCTAGGATCTCTACTGCTGATGTAGGTGACTTCTTGAAAAAAAAATGTACGCACAGTGCATCTCTTGTGAATTACACATCTCCACAAATTGTCATAATGTTATTGAAACCCAGAGATACAGGTCTGTAATAGTTCACAGATTGATGCATTCATAATTTTTAAAAGGAAAATTGCTACATTTCAGAGAAATTTATGGACAAACAGCTGTGTGTTTGTACTTTGTACTCCTGTACCTATCTATCTGTACCAGTCTATTAAATTTAATGCCAGAAGATACTCTCAGTTACATTGGACATATTACAGAAACCACATCTTGCTATCTCCAGTGAAACCTGCACTGCAAGAGAAAATAATAAATAAAAATAAAAAGGAGAAAACAACACATTGCTGCAGTTTTTGAGATATCATTTCTATGCTGTTAGACTTCAATTAATACTAAAGCTTCTTCATTTTAAAGTGCTGTAAAATAGCTCTTTTGTATGCAGAAACTGTGGGTGGTTTCTGTGTCAGTGAAATCCACATTTAGTGACAATTTTAAAGGAACTATCTGAAGTACTTTTACTTCAGCATGTCTGGTACGTGTCTGGTACGTCCTTTAAAATTCAGCATGTCTGGTACGTCCTTTAAAATCCAGACTCAACTTCAGAGAAATTTTCTACTTTTTATGGGACCCCAAAAGGCCCTATAATGCACCAAATTCCTATTACTTACCCCATTGCAGCTGCACTTCTTTATGCTTTGGTTTCCCAAGTACTCTGGGTGGTTGGCACTGATCTGGTGCAATGCTTAGTGTACGGACAAGTAAATTTTCAGAACACTGGAGGAAAGGAAAAGGACACGAGCTATATTTAAGCCTTACTTTGGAGATTTACACTACACAATGAAGAAATATACAACCAGGGCTGCCAAAGGAAAAGAACTAATTAACTTTCAATTCAAATTTCAGATCAAGAATGAAGTTCTATGGGTAAGTCTGAGCCAACCATCCTCCTTCATTCTGCCTCTGTCTCATGTATTTATTTGGGCTCCTATGAGGTTAAAATGGCACTGCCTTGGAAATTCCTTGCAAGGAGGGAGGGAGGGAATAAAAGGCAACTGTACACACACACACACACACACACACTATATACACACACACACAGAAAGAGAGAGAGAGAGAGAGAGAGAGAGAGACCTTAACTATGCTTCCAGCATGGTGTAGCAGTTTGAAAGTTGAAATAGGACTCTAGAAGACTAGGGTTCAAATCCTCATTCACCCTTTGTGTGACCTTTCTCATCTTCAGAGAAAAGTAGTGACAAATCTATAGCTTCCAACCATTCTGATCTGGCAGGGATATGCTGCTATCCTGATTTTTCAGTTGCTTTACAAATGTCTCAGTTTCTCTTTTTCTCCCACTTCCCCCATTTCTCCACAGCATGCTTGAGTTCCTGCAAACCAAGTTCAAAGTGCAAAAGTAGTTTGCATGCAATTAACTCAGTGGAGGAGGGGGAGGGGAGAATATAATAATAATAATAATAATAATAATAATAATAATAATAATAATAATAATAATATACTTTATTTATATTCCACCCTATCTCCCTGAGGGGAATCAGGGCAGATTACAGTACACATATATGGCAAACATTCAATGCCAATTATACAATTAAAGGCAGACAGTGCATAATCAGAGGTGAAGGCTTCCCATCTTTTTCCATGTCTGGAATCTGGAGGCTGTGCTCAACTCTAGCCATAAGGGGTGCTGTCGCTCCATCTTACATGCTGAGGAGCTTTGTTGTCTTAGTTGCTCTCCTGATCAAATTGCCGGTATGTCCGTATGGGCACCTTTTATTACCACCCCACCAAAGCGGTACCTATTTATCTACTCACATTAGTGTTTTTGAACTGCTAGATAAACAGAAGCTGGGATGATGGTTGGGAGTTCAGCCCAACCTGGGTTTGAACTGTCGACCTTTTGATCGACAATATTTTCTGCAGCTGGCAGTTTAACCTGCTGTGCTAAAGCCCAGCCCTAATATTCTCCTTCCCAGTCAGTTCAAGCAAAAGCCAACTCCTACAAGAGGTTAAAAATATTTGACTGAATTCTGATTTTATAGCTTGCAGAATATATGTTTAATGAAAATGCTGGAGTATAGTAATTCACTGCTACTGAGCACAGATGTATAAATAAACAAATCAAAAAGCACTTGTAACACAGGATATGAGCAAAGCTTTGAAAGGGCATGTATAGTGCTAAGGGGATCTGAGCATAAAAGCAATGTTCATCATTCAGCAATATTTACCTGACTGTGTCCACCTGTGCTAATACAGCATGCCCGGAGCTTATACAAAGTGCCTGGTTTCAAGTATGTACATGCACATTCGGTAGCGGATCCTCTGTATGCCACGGCCCATTGATTTGCTGTAAAAATAATTGGACTCATTGAGGTAAGTGATAAACAACCTTTGTAGGATTATGGTACTATTGAGACTTCATTAAGTCACAGGCCTCCCAGTGATTAAAAGCAAATGGGTGCTTTATGGGAACAAGTCGGCTATGGACCATTCCCAAGAAGGCCCTTTGAACCACTGAAAATATCAACTTAAAGCACTGATCCATTAGAAAGGCACAGGGAGAGGTTTTCTTTTGCAGGATTTATTTGACACATACACGTAAAGCATTTCTTTTTCTTCTGTTCCATTCACAAAATGCCTATTGCCAACTTTTTGTTGGTTAACAATTTTTGGTACTGCTGTCAGTTAGCATGTCAGCAACATCCCTTTTTTATAATGATAAGTGAAACTAAATACTTTGAAATTAGTGCCATTAAAGTAGCCTCAACAGAACCGAAAATGTCTGAGAAATGCAGGCTAAAATACAAACACAACGTTTACATTAATATAAGAACATTTAAAAAAGGTGATTTTCACATTCCATTATGGAACATACCACTGTTCTTTACACTACCTTCTTACAAAAATGAAATACAAGAACAGTTAATTTGTAACATGGACCTTGAACTGGTCCATCTTGCCCATTATTATTATCAACACCAACTGACTGCTGCTTTCTAGAGTTTCAAAAGAATAATAGAATCATAGAGTTGGAAGAGACCTCATGGCCATCCAGTCCAACCCCCTGCCAAGAAGCAGGAAAATCACATTCAAAGCACCCCTAACAGATGGCCATCTAGCCTCTGCTTAAAAGCCTCCAAAGAAGGAGCCTCCACCACACTCTGAGGCAGAGAGTTCCACTGCTGAACAGCTCTCACAGTCAGGAAGTTCTTCCTAGTGTTCAGGAGGAATCTCCTTTCCTGTAGTTTGAAACTCTTGTTCCATGTCCTAGTCTCCAGGGCTGCAGAAAACAAGCTTGCTGCCTCCTCCCTATGACTTCCCCACAAATATTTATATATGGTCATCACGTCTCCTCTCAGCCTTCTCTTCTGCAGGCTAAACAGGCACAGCTCTTTAAGCCGCTCCTCATAGGGCCCCATGATTCCACAGCACTGAGCCATGACAGTTAAAATGCTGTCAAACTGCATTCACACTACAGTGCTGATAGACCCTAGGTTTTGTGGTCAGTTATGCAAGACCTAATATAGAAATAAAAGCTCGAAGATACAGGAAATCCTTATCACATCCTGAAAACAATAATGGTACCAGATTTAGCTGGTATTTCGTTTGCACCTGAGTGGCAAAGATAGAATTGCACAATCAGGGTTATCATAGTGCTGTGTGCCAGTTTTTTCTTCCCAAGATCCCTTGTGATTTTTATGGAATCCTATAGGTGGTGGACATCAATGGTCAATTTTTTTGTCGTGTCAGGAGCAAGTAGCTTCTGGTGTGAGAGACTTGGCTGTCTGCAAGGATGTTGCCCGGGGGACGCCTGGATGATTTGATGTTTTTATCATCCTTGTGGGAGGCTTCTCTCATGTCCCCGCATGAGGAGCTGGAGCTGATAGAGGGAGCTCATCTGCCTCTCCCCGGATTTGAACCTGCAACTTGTTGGTCTTCAATCCTGCCAGCACAGGGGTTTAACCCACTTTGCCACCGGGGGCTCCAATGGTCAATAAGAAGCTATGATTGGCTGATTGTAACAAGGGGATTGGCAAGCCTACACCACTGACAATGTCTTCAATTCTCAGCATATATTAATTTTCCCAGGGCTTCCTTCCATAGTCCACTTTGGAGAGGTTCTCCCTTTAATCCTGGAAAAGGTGGGTTGCATCACTGATATTTAAAACGTATTTTCAAATAAAAGATTACAACTACACAATTTCAGATTCCTTGCACTTCACTGGTGACAATCATAATTATACATATATGAATGCACTATAAATTACCAGAAAATATGTATAGTTTTTCAATTTACCTTCAGAGCTTCCTTCTGAAATTTCTAACAGATAATTTAGGATTTCTGAACCACCATTATCCTCAGGAGGCTCTATTTCAAAAAAAGAGACAGAGATGGTGTTAGCATTATTTTTAAAACAAAGGGGGGGGGGGGTGTACAAATAGACATTACACTCAAATCTGTTCTTTGTCAGGACTGGATTCTATCCAGGATTGGAATTTGGAATGAGAACGGATGTCTTTTAAGATCTCAATCTGATTATGCTCACTTTCCGGCTGGCTTTTACAGGACTCTTAGTCATGACTGTTGATTTTCTTTGCTCACTTCTTTCCCTAATGTGAACAGTCACAAATGCTGCAATAAAACTATGGGAATTGAAAGCAATGTTTTAAAATGAATGTGTTTATATATGATGATACTGCTAAGCATCTAGCATAGTACTGCTTTGCTGGATTTTTCAGATAACAATATGGGTAAATGTTAAGGTTTTCCCTTCACATTAAGTCCAGTCGTGTCCAACTCTGGGGGTTGGTGCTCATCTCCATTTCTAAACCGAAGAGCCAGTGTTGTCCATAGACACATCCAAGGTCATATGGCTGGCATGGCTGCATGGAGCGCTGTTACCTTCCCACTGGAGCGGTACCTATAGATCTACTCACATTTGCATGTTTTCAAATTGCTAGGTTCGCAGAAGCTGGGGCTAACAGTGGGAGCTCATGCTGCTCCCCGGAATCAAACCTGCTACCTTTCGGTAAGCAAGTTCAGCAGCTCAGCAGTTTAACCCACTACGCCACTGAGGGATCCTAGATTACAGTATACATATCTAAGATTTCTAGATATTTTGCTCATGCTGTTTGTTTACTTCCAATTAGGGCAACTTCTTGTTTCCTCTTTCTGGAAGAACACCCATCTCCTCATGATGCTGCCATGATAATAACTTACGTTGTATCAAAAGATAATATCACTTGTATAGGTTAATCCAATACATCCTGTGCATAAAAACCATTTATTTGCAGAATCAGGGTCAACAAAAATGAATTCTGAAGGTGGAGCAGACGTCATAGCACTCAGTGGCAAAAGCCTGATATGTCACAATGTGCCTTCTCTCTAGAGCAATTTCATAACCCCTTTAAATGGATTTTTCTTGCAGCAAGGTGTGAAGTTGTTCCAGTAACAATACGCTTCCATTTGCTTAAAGAACGGAAGTACAATGAGGCAACAGGCTGTGTGATAAAGTCTCTGGCTTTCAGGGTCTAAGACGAATGACAGAGGCTAGAAATACAAAGGTACATGCTTACCCCATTTCACACTGAAGCCGTGAGATGTTGTGGGCCCTTTCACAACAAGCCTGGTGGGCGGCCCTGGCCTGTCGGGGCTTGTGGTACAGACCAAGACATCACTAGGACTACTCTTCCCTTCTACATTGGAGGCAATTAGCTGTGAAGGAAATTGACATGATTACAGTCTGTCCCTGAGTTACAAACTTCCAAATTACATACAACTCATTGTTCATAAAAGAGCTGAGACAATAAGAAGTGAGAGAAATCTACTCCTAGGAAGGGAAATTTACTCTTGTAAGAGTGATCATGGGAAAAAGGGTTTTCACTCTTGTTTCCACAACAAGTCAACATTTTCAAAATCCAATCATCACAGGGACATAAAATGAGGTGAAATCCTCTGAACAGGGACACAGAAATGTAAATATTACAGGGGTGTTAGCACTTCCCTATGCTAACCAAAACTATCTCCCCTTATGAACCACTGAGGACTTTAAGATCATCTGGGGAGGCCCTGCTTTCGGTCCCGCCTTCGTCACAAGCACGTTTGGCAGGGACGAGAGACAGGGCCTTCTCAGTAGTGGCCCCTTGGCTATGGAATGCCCTCCCTAGGGAAATCAGATCTGCTCCCTCCCTCTTGACATTTTTGAGGCAATAAAACATGACTATTCGAGCAAGCGTTTACAAATACAGAGTAGCTAATACAGGAAATCGAATGACCTGACAATGGAATTGGACAATGCTTGAGAATAATGAGACGTTGATGATGTTGCTTTTATTGTTTTTATGATGTCTTATACTGCTCAATGTTTTTGTCTATTATCTTTTATGTATACTGATTTGTTGGAAACCGCCTTGAGTCGCCAATTGGCTGAGAAAGGCAGTATACAAATACAGTAAATAAATAAACAAACAAATAAATAAATAAACAAATAAATATCTAGCCAGCTATCTGTCTATCTATCCACACACACACAAATACATATACATGCATACATACATAAATGTTGAAGTTACACTTTACAAGGTACATGTGGCAACTTATATACAAGTTCAATTTAAGAACAAACCTATAGAACCTATTTTGTTTGTAACTTGGGGACTGCCTGTATTTCTATGTCTGTCTGTCAAGGTGCATTGAACAAAAGGAATTTCAAGCAATCTGCATCTGTAAGGATACCCAAACACTTCCTCAACCAGCCTCTTTGTCCCCAAGATTGAGTCTCAAGAGGTCAACTGCTTCCTTCACAGTGAGCCTGGTGTCATAGAAAGTTAGCATGCCTACATTTTCTCTGGATTACATTGTTTTCTTTGAAATGAAATCAGTGATAATTATTTACAAGCTGTGTGATGAAGGTAACTTTCAATCTGAAAACACTGATAGGAAGTGAGAAGAAATCATGAAAACCTCTGAAAGCCAAGGATAGCAGAATGAAATGCTACCAGTCCTGTCTCTTTTCTGGATAACTTATAATTAGATGCTCTGGGGGCAATGAAGGTTCATAGATCTGCCTCATTACCCCATTACCTGAATACCTGCCCCATAGTGAAAATAGAAATATGTAACTATTTGCTGAATATATGCATCCCACAGGACTCCATTTTCCATCCCTGACCCTGCTTCATGATGGTCCATTTAGCAGCCTCATACATGTTGAGTCAAGGCAAGGACGGGTGTAAATCAGTACTTATTCTTCTGCATCAAGTCTTGCCTGTTTTCCATATGTAGAATACAGAAGGCATGTAAAATGGGACATTGCATATACTGTATTACAAAAAGGTAAGTTAATATATGCTGTTTTCTATGTCAGCAGTGCATTTCTGATTCTACGTAAGGTAAAGATGCAATAAAATAGTAAAATGACATTGCAGTTTTTGTCAAAGTGAAGTACAGCTTGCCCACATAGATATACAATTTGTTCTTTCCTGATGTCCCCTTCTCTCCCCCCCCCCCCCCTCGGTGTTGCCACTGCTTATTTTCTGAAGTAATCACATTTTACACCAAAAGCAAATCTTTGAGTTCTTTTAACATTGCCTACTTCAGTAAGTACATGTGTGCATATAAACACAATTGAATCAAACACACAGCATACACATTGCAGGATCATGTACTGTATTGCCTCTGGAAAACAAGTTTGGGTGCTGCCTTGTGTCAAGATACTAAAATTGCACGTACAATTTAATAATCAGAATATTGCCATGCAAGGTTTCTAAAGGGGGAGGTGGTTGTGTCCAAGTCATTTCTAATCTGCAGTGACCCAAAGGTGAATCTATTGTTTGGGAGGGGGAAACCAAGGTTAGTTGAGAAACAGTTTACTTCTACTAAACTGTTACATAGAAGTAGTGCAATAGAAGAGAACACCTACCCTAAATTTATATTGTGTGCTTCTTTTAAGATTTTTCACAGTACAGGTTTGGTCTTCTCCAGTGTACTTTGGATGAAACACACTATCCTGAAATGTAAATAAGGCAACAAGTTAAAGAAAACAGGCTTGACTTTTGAAAAACCAGCAAAAGTTATTAGGCAAGTATCACTGCATTAAAGGCAGAGTTTGGAAAAGTTACCTTTTTTGCACTGCAAGATTCCTTGAGCTATCATGGGGTGCACCTACACTGTGGAATTAATGTAGTTTGATAATACTTTAACTGCCATTACTCAATGCTATGCAATCATGGGTTTTGTAGTTTTACAGGGTCTTTAACCTTCTCATCCAAATAGTGCTGGTGTCCCACCAACCACTGATCCATTGCAATTAAAAGAGACGTTGTTTTGCATTAATTCTTCAATGTAGAGACATCCTTAGTCAGTTCATCAACCGTCAGCAGGATACATGGTCATGTTTCTTGGAAGAAGTAGCTTTTCAAAACTATGATCAAAAGTTGCTCTTCCATCATGCAATTTGCCGTTATCTGTTTGCAGTCAGATTTCAATCCTTCCAAATGTATTGCAGCATTTTGTGTTGATTTCCTCTTTTATTGATAAGGCATGTCATTAATGCTTGAGTTATAAAATGATTGGAAGAGGACAATAAAGCTATTTTCCTCCCAGCCCTGCTATATGCCTGCAAAATGAAGAATATCTACAGACATCACACTCAACTCCTGGGATGACTCCATCAGTGTTGCCTCCAAAAAATCCTGTCTTGGGAAGACAGATGGACAAACATCATTGTGCAGGATGAAGCACATTGTGCAGAATGAAGCACAGGACCAACAGCATTGAAGTGATGCTCCTATGCCATCAACTCCTCTGGACTGGCCACATTGTCCAAATGCCTGATTACCGTCTCCCAAAACAGTTACTATACTCCCAACTCAAGAATGGGAAATGTAGTAATGTATTGTCGAAGGCTTTCATGGCCGGAATCACTCAGTTCTTGTGGGTTTTTTCGGGCTATATGGCCATGTTCTAGAGGCATTTCTCCTGACGTTTCGCCTGCATCTATGGCAAGCTTCCTCAGAGGTCTGCTGGAGCTGGGAAAAAGGGGTTTATATATCTGTGGAATGACCAGGGTGAGACAAAGGGCTTTTGTAAGTTGGGCTAGGTGTGAATCTTTCAACTGACCACCTTGATTAGCATACAATGGGCTGACTGTGCCTGGAGCAAACTCTTCTTGAAAGGTGATTAGATGTCCCTGCCTGTTTTTCTCTCTGCTGTTTTAATTTTAGAATTTTTTAATACTGGTAGCCAGATTTTGTTCATTTTCATGGTTTCTTCCTTTCTGTTGAAATTGTCCACATGTTTGTGGATTTCAATGGCTTCTCTGTGTAGTCTGACATGGTGGTTGTGAGAGTGGTCCAGCATTTTTGTGTTCTCAAATAAAATGCTGTGTCCAGGTGGTTCATCAGGTGCTCTGCTATGGCTGATTTCTCTGGTTGGAGTAGTCTGCAGTGCCTTTCATGTTCCTGGATTCTGTTTGGGCGCTGCGTTTGGTGGTCCCTATGTAGACTTGTCCACAGCTGCATGGTACACGGTAGACTCCTGCAGAGGTGAGAGGATCCCTCTTGTCCTTTGCTGAACGTAGCATTTGTTGGATTTTCTTGGTGGGTCTGTATGTTGTGTTTCCTCATCAGTTTCCCTATGCGGTCAGTGGTTCCCTTGATGTATGGCAGGAACACTTTTCCTCTGGGTGGATCTTCTTTACTCTCGTGGCTTGTTCTTGGTCTTGCAGCTCTTCTGATGTCTGAGGTGGAGTATCCATTGGCCTGGAGAGCCCAGTTGAGGTGGTTCAGTTCATCTTGGAGGAGGTGGGCTTCGCAGATTCTTTTTGCACGGTCTGCCAAGGCTTTAATGGTGCTTCTTTTTTGACTTGGGTGATGGTTGGAGTTTTTATGTAGATATCTATCTGTGTGTGTGTGGGTTTTCTGTAGACGGTGTGGCCCAATTGTTGATCTGGTTTGCGGATGACTAGGACATCTAGAAAAGGCAGTCTTCCTTCATTTTCTTTTTCCATGGTGAATTGGATGTTTGGGTGGATGCTGTTAAGATGTTCCAGGAACCTGTTGAGTTCTTCTTCTCCATGGCTCCAAATGGTGAAGGTGTCATCCACATATCTGAACCATATAGTGGGCTTTTTGGTTGCTGTTTCAAGAGCTTGTTTTTCAAATTGTTCCATTGTTTCAATCAACTTCGACTGACCGGCTGAGAGGGCTCCCCATAGCTACTCCATCTTTCTGTTCGTAGAATTCATTGTCCCACTGAAAATAGCTGGTGGTGAGGCAATGGTGAAACAGCGCCGTGATGTCTTCTGGGAACCTCTGGTTGATGAGTGCCATGGTGTCTGCAACTGGGACCATGGTAAATAGAGACACCACATCGAAGCTGATCAGTTTGTCATTTGTATTTAGCTTGAGATTGCTGATTTTTTCAATGAAGTGGGCTGAGTCCTTGATGTAGTGTGTTGTGAGCCCAATGTGGCTTTGTAACTGTGCAGCAAGAAATTTGGCTAAGTCATATGTGGGGGATCCAATGGCACTCACGATTGGTCTGAGTGGGGTGGAGTCCTTATGGATTTTGGGGAGTCCATAAAGCCTGGGTGGAAGGGCTTCCGATTTACATAGCTGCTGTCGTATGTCGAAGTTGATTGAGGAGTTTTTAATTAGAGTGTTGGTTTTTCTGGTTATTTTGGAAGTTGGGTCTTGCTTAAGTTTTCTGTATATAGTAGGGTCCAGGAGTTTTCTGATCTTCTCCTTGTATTGCTCTGTATGCATGATGACAATACATTGAACATCTCTACGGGGAGAAACTGTTCCAAGACACACGGAAATTGGAGAAACTAAGGACCAGGAAAGCACATCTACTGTGCTCCCTGACTTTCCTTCTACGCTGCAGAGACACAGATACCATCCCACAATTTCTCGCAGCCAAAAGGACTTTCAAAACACCACAGGCTCACCGGATCTATGACCGCCTGGAACGCAACCTCTTAAGAGAGAGAATCCACACCATCCGCAAAGAACTCGCAAACACAGACAAGGAACTGCTGCATCTCCATATCAATATCAGCCAGAAGATGAATTCCCAGGACTGGGACAAAATAGACAATCTCACTTACAGGAAAATGGAGAAAAACATGGTTGTCCACACCAACAGACAAAAACAAAAATTCCACAAACGACAAAAGCAACAGCCGAAACCAGAACTGGATACATCACGGAACATCATCAACCTGACAGACAGACAACTCTCTGAAGACCAAGTATCCATACTAGCGAAAGGAGGAAACTTTGCTGTAACCGCCACCAGGATCCCAGTAGAAAACATCATTGCCAATGTCGAATCAGCAATTTACCGCCTCCCAGAGGAGGAAGCAGAAGAAGTACGAGCGGAAGCAGCAAGGATCCTGAAAAAGGCAAAACTCCCCTCCAGTAACATTACTAGGAAGGAAAGAGAAGCCATTAGAGACCTAAATTCAGATCCTGATATCCTCATTCTGCCAGCAGACAAGGGGAATGCCACAGTCATCATGCATACAGAGCAATACAAGGAGAAGATCAGAAAACTCCTGGACCCTACTATATACAGAAAACTTAAGCAAGACCCAACTTCCAAAATAACCAGAAAAACCAACACTCTAATTAAAAACTCCTCAATCAACTTCGACATACGACAGCAGCTATGTAAATCGGAAGCCCTTCCACCCAGGCTTTATGGACTCCCCAAAATCCATAAGGACTCCACCCCACTCAGACCAATCGTGAGTGCCATTGGGTCCCCCACATATGACTTAGCCAAATTTCTTGCTGCACAGTTACAAAGCCACATTGGGCTCACAACACACTACATCAAGGACTCAGCCCACTTCATTGAAAAAATCAGCAATCTCAAGCTAAATACAAATGACAAACTGATCAGCTTCGATGTGGTGTCTCTATTTACCATGGTCCCAGTTGCAGACACCATGGCACTCATCAACCAGAGGTTCCCAGAAGACATCACGGCGCTGTTTCACCATTGCCTCACCACCAGCTATTTTCAGTGGGACAATGAATTCTACGAACAGAAAGATGGAGTAGCTATGGGGAGCCCTCTCAGCCCAGTCATAGCTAACTTCTACATGGAACAATTTGAAAAACAAGCTCTTGAAACAGCAACCAAAAAGCCCACGATATGGTTCAGATATGTGGATGACACTTTCACCATTTGGAGCCATGGAGAAGAAGAACTCAACAGGTTCCTGGAACATCTTAACAGCATCCACCCTAACATCCAGTTCACTATGGAAAAAGAAAAGGAAGGAAGACTACCTTTTCTAGATGTCCTAGTCATCCGCAAACCAGATCAACAATTGGGTCACACCGTTTACAGAAATCCCACACACACAGATAGATATCTACATAAAAACTCCAACCATCACCCAAGTCAAAAAAGAAGCACCATTAAAGCCTTGGCAGACCGTGCAAAAAGAATCTGTGAACCCCACCTCCTCCAAGATGAACTGAACCACCTCAACTGGGCTCTACAGGCCAATGGATATTCCACCTCAGACATCAGAAGAGCTGCAAGACCAAGAAAAAGCCACGAGAGTCAAGATGAAGATCCACCCAGAGGAAAAGTGTTCCTGCCATACATCAAGGGAACCACTGACCGCATAGGGAAGCTGATGAGGAAACACAACATACAAACAATCTACAAACCCACCAAGAAAATCCAACAAATGCTACGTTCAGCAAAGGACAAGAGGGATCCTCTCACCTCTGCAGGAGTCTACCGTATACCATGCAGCTGTGGACAAGTCTACATAGGGACCACCAAACGCAGCGCCCAAACAAGAATCCAGGAACATGAAAGGCACTGCAGACTACTCCAACCAGAGAAATCAGCCATAGCAGAGCACCTGATGAACCAACCTGGACACAGCATTTTATTTGAGAACACAAAAATGCTGGACCACTCTCACAACCACCATGTCAGACTACACAGAGAAGCCATTGAAATCCACAAACATGTGGACAATTTCAACAGAAAGGAAGAAACCATGAAAATGAACAAAATCTGGCTACCAGTATTAAAAAATTCTAAAATTAAAACAGCAGAGAGAAAAACAGGCAGGGACATCTAATCACCTTTCAAGAAGAGTTTGCTCCAGGCACAGTCAGCCCATTGTATGCTAATCAAGGTGGTCAGTTGAAAAGATTCACACCTAGCCCAACTTACAAAAGCCTTTTGTCTCACCCTGGTCATTCCACAGATATATAAACCCCTTTTTCCCAGCTCCAGCAGACCTCTGAGGAAGCTTGCCATAGATGCAGGCGAAACGTCAGGAGAAATGCCTCTAGAACATGGCCATATAGCCCGAAAAAACCACAAGAACTGAGGGAAATGTAGTGTTGGTGGATAGGAAAAGAAATTGAAAGATGGGCTTAAAGCCAACCTTAAAAACTGTGGCATAGACACTGAGAACTGGGAAGCCCTGGCCCTTGAGCTCTCTAACTGCAGGTCAGCTGTGACCAGCAGTGCTGTAGAATTTGAAGAGGCACGAATGGAGGGCAAAAGGGAGAAACATGCCAAGAGGAAGGCACATCAAGCCAACCCTGACTGGGACCGCCTTTCACCTGGAAACTGATGTCCTCACTGTGGGAGAACATGAGGATCAAGAATAGGGCTCCACAGCCATGTATGGTCCCGCCTCCAAAACAGTAAACTTGGAGGACCATCATCCTCGGGCTATGAGGGATCGCCTAATTGAGTAAGGAGGAGGAAGGAAGGAATGTATGGACCCCAGGCTTGGTTGTGGATTGTCAGACTGTAATTTAATGTTGCAAGCCAGCCAGCTGAGCAACTTTTAATAACCTTTATTGGAGGAAGCCCTTAGAAGATGGATGCCGCCAGTCTCAGGTCTCTAAAATAAGATCTGACACTGTTTCTCAGAATTGCCCTGTGTTTCATATTCTTCCTGGAGTCCTGTTGCTTACCTTCCTACTAAAATCCTTTGCTCTTCTTTATTATGTGGATTCTGAATCCTTACTAGAGGACTGGGCTCTTACCCCAAACTCAATGCATGCATATTAAGTGTTTCCTTATTTTGAGAAGTGATCAGGCTCCCTCTCCTGTCAAGAAAGGGAAAATGCATGCACACCATCCCTTGCTGAGAAAGATGTTCCCTCAGTCTATTCATCATGTATGAGTACATCAGAATCATTGTTTGCTTAGCAAGCTGCTTTTTGCCAAGGAAATGAGGCAAGGCAGAACAACGTTTGGGCTCGAAGGGGGGCTGAAATAATAGCTGAAAGAATATACCATATGTGTCGCTCAATAACAAGAGCTGACACAATAACAAGTATGGAAACAACATTGAATTATAGCACTGCCATCCCAGCACAACATGAAAAGTGGTGAGCATATTCCAGTGATACAAACTGATGCAAGCTTGACTGTGTGCTATTTTCAAGACTGTCATCATAGCAGATGCTTCACAGGGGATGCACAGAACCCATCATGGTATATCAAGGGGGAAGACCAAAGTCCTCATTTAAGATTCAACTTGCAAACCACTCAGCATGATTTCTCCTACACAACTGTGCACTGCTGTTAATGCAGTGAGGTGCTACAAGCTTACACACATGCACGTGGTTATATGTTGCCATAAATTGTTTTAACTAGTTTTAAATAGCCATTCTTGTTACATTGTTTAATACCTAGTAAAACTCTCTTAACTAGGAAACACATGTTTCATTTATGTGTGCCCAGGGGAGAAAATAGTCTTCTAAGAATTTGCTTGGTCCTCCTTATTATACTACTGGATAAATACAGAGTAAGCACTGAATTGTTTATTTATATGTTAATTATATATTTTATATTACATGTAAAATTACTAATAATATTACAATATAATTGTATAGTACAATATAGTGATATTGTACTATGCTAATGGTATAATGTATTGTGTGTGTGTGTGTGTATCTATCTATCTATCTATCTTGTAAGCCACTCCGAGTCCCCTTCGGGGTGAGAAGGGTGGCATATAAATGTCGCAAATAAATAAATAAATAGCCTATAGATAGGCCGCTCTGAGTGCCCTTCGAAGTGAGAAAGTGAGGTAAGGTGCGAGAGGATCTAGCAAATTCCTTGCAAAATTTCTAGAAATCCATCTGTTAAGAGCTGTTTAGCAGTGGAATATGTTTTAAAGCAGAGGTTGGGTGACGTCTGCCAGGAGTGCTTTGGTTCCGCATTTCTGTATTGAAGAGGGTGAGGCTGAATAGCTCTTGGGATTTTTTCTATATCTATGATTCTATGATTATTTAGACATATCAATCTGCTGCCCCTTCTTTATTCAACCCTTGTGCTGCTGAACTGCTGACCTGAAGGTTGGCAGTTCAAATCTGTGGGACAATGCAAGCTCCCGCTGTTAGCCCTAGCTCCTGCCAACCTAGCAGTTCAAAACATGCAAATGTGAGTAGATAAATAAGTACCACCTCGGCAGGAAAAGGCAAAAAGATGCTCCCAAGCAGTCATGATGGTCATGCGACCAGGAGGTGTCTATGGACAATGAAGGCTCCTTGGCTTGGAAATGGAGAAGAGTACCTCCCCCAGAGCCAGAGATGAGCACCGCTTCCAGAGCCGGAAATGAAAGGAGAAACCTTTGCCTGTGTATTTGTGCCTCATTGTATTTTATTGTAAGAGATGTTTGCCTGTGTTTGTTTATATGCTGTAATCTGCTCTGAGTCCCCTTAGGAAGAAGGGCAGAATATAAATAATGTTTTGCTGTTGTTGTTATTATTGTTGTTGTTGTTGTTGTTGTTGTTGTTAATGTAATGACAGGAACTTCCACCTGAATGAATTCTAAAACAAGCACATGGGAATGCTATAGTATTGGAATAGGAGTGCTGCTTTTCAGGGTTTTATTTATTGTTCCAAAAGGACATTCCTCTGATGTCCTCTGATGTCTAATTTTCTGTGTTTTCATTCCCATTTTTCCAGGCAGAGCAAATTAATGACAGATTTTTGCTGGAGACTCAGGTATCACAGCTATTTTTAAAAAACATTTTTCACATAGAGAAGTTTAATAGGTGAAAGCTATTCTGCCAGGTGACCTTAAAAATGCTCCTTATCTTCTCCAGAGAATAGAGACAAAGATGAATGGTGTGAACTTATAATACGATAGAAACTTCCCTGGTTATTGACTGCTCTTTTATAGGAGGATAAGTAAATATTGGAGGCGAGTGAGATAAACTCTCTGTAAGACGCTTTTGAATCTGTCTGTATTAACTCAGAACTTACATTGTCATCCTCCTGAATCTCCAAGGTATAGGTAACGACTTCTTCTGGTGTGCAGCCCTCTGCTTTATTCCACTGTAGGGTGATCCAGGTGACTCCTGCTCGGACAAGCCTTGGTGCAGAAGGAGTTTGAGGAATATTTCCTGATGTGTAACATATGACTTCTTGGCTAAAGCCACTGTGAAGCAACAAGGACAGCAAAGGATTTCCATTAGACAAAGTCTGTAGAATTAAATGGAGCATTTAGAACGCCTTGGCTGTTTTTTTAACCTAACCCTCTGTTAATCTAGAATCCTTATTCAACAAAGGAACAACAAAACCATAGATTCAAACTGAGAGAATATTCCAGTTGTCTAATTACATAGAAATTTCTAATCAGGTTTCCTCAATTGGTTTAGCTTCTAGTTATGGTCACTGTGCATGAACTACCCCTGCTTTGTTTACAGAATCCTGCAGTTTGAGGCCACAATTTCTGCTTCATCTTATACTACTCCTTTGTTTTACCACAGAAGTAGTAATGGTGCAGCCCTCTAGATGTTGTAAAACTGTAAGATACAGCATCCTTTGCTATTGGTTATACAGGAAATTATTATTCAAAATCTGGAGAATTTTGCAAATTATGAAGATTCCAGATTTATTTATTTCTTTATTATTAAACTTTATTTGTACCCCGCTAGCATCTCCCGAAGGACTCGGTGCGGCTTACAAAGGCCAAGGCCTCAACACAACAACAACAAAACAAAAACAATACAATTCAAAGCAAATTAAAAACATAAGCAATAACAAATCATTACATCATTATGCAATAAAACCAGGGCCGGGCCAGTGATGGGTACAGGTTAAAAAGTGCTGGGTGTGGCAGGTGGTATGTTGGATTTCTGGGCAAGTGCAATGTGCAGAGAGTCTTAAACTCTAATAAAGTGCTTCTGGGAGATAGTACTGGAGGTTATCCTAATCTGGAAAGGCACATCGGAATAGCCAGGTCTTCAAGTTCTTTCTAAAGACTGCCAACGTGGGTGCTAGTCTAATGCCTTTGGGGAGGGTGTTCCAGAGTTGGGGGGGGGGGGCAACCACAGAGAAAGCCCTATATTGGCTATATATTTCCTATATTTATACCCCGCCCTTCTCCCCCCGAAGGGGGACTCAAATGCTTTAACTAATGGGTTCCTGGCGGATAAATATTGCTTTGCTTTCTGTTGAAATCTCCCATTTCTTCTGAACTGTTGAACTTTCACATTCAAATGTGAATTTAAATACAAATTCATGTGCATTATTTCACATTTGAACAGAGTATCTTTGAAACTATAAATTCCACTACTATGAGAACCAGGACTTTTGTTGTTGACGTCGTTTCTGGCTTGTGTCCACTTTGTCATAGAGTTTTCTTATTTTGTTTGGGGGGGGGGGGGTTGCCTTCCTTTGAGATTCAGAGAGTGTCACTTACAAAAGATCACTGAAAGGTTTTCCATGGCCCAGCATGGATTGGCCCTTGAGGAACAGGATACTAAACTAGATAGGCCTTTTGTCCCATCTGGTAATGCATTTTTTGCTCAGTCTTAAATTTAAAAATCAACATAGTCTTAAAACACACATATATACTTCAGTAACTATCAGAAGGAACAATTTACCTAATGCCCATGTCATTCCGAGCCGCTAATCGGAACGTGTAACCCACAGCCGGACAGAGCTTCGTCACCTTGTAATGCTTCTGGCTCCCATCGTAACATTCTCTGAAGACATTGCTTCTTTTTCCCTGAAAGAAAAAAAAAGCATAGATTGCATAAAATTCATGAAAATTGCTTTTTTTTTTTTGGAAGCCCAAAGGCGCTCTGACCAGTTTCTCACCAACTGTTTCCCATTAATGTTAAATGCACATGTGCAACTTTTTGTAATTGCAATCATTTGGGCCAAATCATCCACTGAACAGACTATTCCAGATGCAGTTTGACCATTTCCATGCTTGTATGTGTTGGGAAGCAGGAAGAAGGCACAGTCAACTCTGAGCCACATATTCCATGAATACCAGGTGATTTTCCAAGCCACCCTTCTCACATTTCTTGCCTTTGAGGAACTTTTTTGTCCCATGAAGCCAGGAACTCAAAGAGGGAACCCAGAGCCAACCATGTCCCTCTCCTTCTTCCTTCCTTTAATCCTTCTGTTGCCACCACTTTCCATCTTTAGGATTTTTTTTATCACTGGTGCTCTTCCTACATCAGTAGTATCTCAGCCTCTGAGCACTGTCTTCTGATTTCTTAAGACACTATCTTCCATTTATTAATCAATATACTTAATTAACTGTAGAACTTCAAAATTTGTACCAGGAGTAACTTCAGGGCTGACAATAAGTAGAACTACAAATAGTTCTTACTGGCAGCCTGTCACACTTATTGTGGCAGATGCAATTAAAACAACACTCATTTGTAGCTTTCCCACTGTATCCAGAGATTTGTTGAAGGCTTTCATGGCCAGAATCACTGGGTTGCTGCAAGTTTTCTGGGCTGTATGGCTATGTTCCAGAAGCATTTTTACTGGTGTTTCGCCCACATCTATGACAGGCATCCTCAGAGGTTGAGGGGTCTGTTGGAAACTAAGTAAGTCAAGGTTTATATATTACCTCACCCTTGGACACTCCACAGATATATATACCTTCACTTACTTAGTTTCCAACAGACCCCCCTCAACCTCTGAGGATTCCTGCCATAGATGTGGGTGAAACATCAGGAAAGAATGCTTCTGGAACATGACCATACAGCCCGGAAAACTCACAGCAACTCAGTATTAAAAATGACTTAAAATACTCCAGATCATATGGAAATGAAACTGGACATGAAATGAAACTTTGCTTCATGGTTCAATTTTCTATTCTTCTGTAATCTGCACAATTAACTCTCCAAGGAAATATTTGGGATATTCCTGAGGTTATATTCTATTTGTTTAAAAGATGGAAGACGTTCAGCTACCACAAAGCAAGTTGGCCTAGGATGAATATCAATATGCTGCAACCCAGTAAGGCCCCTTCTACACTGCCAAAGAACTCAGATTATCAAAGCCGATAATCCACATTATCTGCTTTGAACTGGATTATATGAGTCTACGCTGCCATATAATTCAATTCAAAGCAGATAATCTGGATTTTACATGGCAGTGTAGAAGGGGCCTGACTAGTTAGGAAAGCAGCTGTAATTGACGAGAAATTCTATGTGAGTTTAAAATATTGTAATCCTGCATTTCCATAGAATCATAGAATCATAGAATCAAAGAGTTGGAAGAGACCTCATGGGCCATCCAGTCCAACCCCCTGCCAAGAAGCAGGAATATTGCATTCAAATCACCCCTGACAGATGGCCATCCAGCCTCTGCTTAAAAGCTTCCAAAGAAGGAGCCTCCACCACACTCCGGGGCAGAGAGTTCCACTGCTGAACGGCTCTCACAGTCAGGAAGTTCTTCCTAATGTTCAGATGGAATCTCCTCTCTTGTAGTTTGAAGCCATTGTTCCGCGTCCTAGTCTCCAGGGAAGCAGAAAACAAGCTTGCTCCCTCCTCCTCCCTGTGGCTTCCTCTCACATATTTATCCATGGCTATCATATCTCCTCTCAGCCTTCTCTTCTTCAGGCTAAACATGCCCAGCTCCTTAAGCCGCTCCTCATAGGGCTTGTTCTCCAGACCCTTGATCATTTTAGTCGCCCTCCTCTGGACACATTCCAGCTTGTCAATATCTCTCTTGAATTGTATTGCCCAGAATTGGACACAATATTCCAGGTGTGGTCTAACCAAAGCAGAATAGAGGGGTAGCATTACTTCTCTCTCGAGCCAGGCGTCACCCATTCTGTATCTTTGCATTTCATTTTTTCTGCCAAAGTGGAGTATCTTGCATTTGTCACTGTTGAACTTCATTTTGTTAGTTTTGGCCCATCTCGCTAATCTGTCAAGATCGTTTTGGATCCTGCTCCTGTCCTCTGGAGTATTGACTCTCCCTCCCAATTTGGTGTCGTCTGCAAACTTGATGATCCTGCCTTCTAGCCCTTCATCTAAGTCATTAATAAAGATGTTGAACAGGACCGCGCCCAGGACGGAACCCTGCGGCACTCCACTTGTCACTTCTTTCCAAGATGAAGAGGAAGCTTTAGTGAGCACTCTCTGTGTTCGTCCACTTAACCAATTACAGATCCACCTCACCGTAGTTTTGCCTAGCCCACATTGGACTAGTTTCCTTGCCAGAAGGTCATGGGGGACCTTGTCGAAGGCCTTACTGAAATCCAGGTAAGCTACATCCACGGCATTCCCCGCATCTACCCAGCTTGTAGCTCTATCGAAGCTCTATCGAAGAAAGAGATCAGATTAGTCTGGCATGACTTGTTTTTGATAAATCCATGTTGACTATTAGCGATGACTGCATTTGTTTCTAAGTGTTTGCAGACCGCTTCCTTAACAATCTTTTCCAGAATCTTGCCCGATATCGACGTGAGGCTGACCGGACGGTAGTTGTTTGGGTCATCCTTTTTTCCCTTCTTGAAGATTGGGACCACATTGGCCCTCCTCCAATCTGCTGGAACTTCTCCCGTTCTCCAAGAACTCTCAAAGATGATTGCCAATGGTTCCGAAATGACTTCCGCTAGTTCCTTCAATACTCTTGGGTGTAGTTGATCTGGCCCTGGGGACTTGAACTCATTTAGAGCGGCCAGGTATTCCTGGACAACTTCTTTCCCAATTTGGGGTTGGATGTCCTCCAATCCCTCATCCACTCCATCTTGCTGAGGTTGAAGACTCTATTTTTGTGAGAAGACCGAGGCAAAGAAGGCATTAAGTAGTTCTGCCTTTTCCCTATCCCCTGTCAGCATTGCCCCATCTTCTCCTCGAAGAGGTCCTATCGCCTCCTTGTTTTTTCTTTTTCTACTGACATAAGAATAGAAGCCCTTTTTATTGTTTTTAATGTCCCTGGCAAGTCTGAGCTCGTTTTTTGCTTTAGCCTTGCGGACCTTTTCCCTACAGGTGTTGGCTATTTGTTTGAATTCTTCTTTGGTGATTTCTCCCTTTTTCCACTTCTTGTGCATGTCTCTTTTTTGTCTTAGCACAGTTAGAAGTTCTTTGGACATCCATTCTGGCTTCTTTGCACTTGTCCTATTTTTTCTCTTTGTTGGCACGGTTTGCAATTGCGCCTTGAGTATTTCACTCTTGAGAAATTCCCATCCATCCGTAACTCCCTTGTCTTTTAGTATCTGTGTCCACGGAATGCTGCTCAGCGTTTCCTTTTTTTAGGAAATCAGCTCTCCTAAAGTCCAAAATGCGGGTTTGACTTGTCTTAGTTTCGGCCTTCCTTTGTACCTCAAATTGCAGGAGCACATGGTCACTTGCCCCTAAGGATCCGACCACTTCAACCGCATCGATCAGGTCCTCCACATTTGTTAGGATGAGATCAAGAGTAGCCAACCCCCTTGTTGCCTCTTCTACCTTCTGGACCATGAAATTGTCTGCAAGGCAAGCGAGGAATTTGTTGGACCTTGTACTCTTGGCCGAGTTTGTTTTCCAGCAAATATCGGGATAGTTGAAATCGCCCATGACTACTACATCTCTTCTCTGTGTCTGTTTGGTCAACTGTTGGCAGAAGACTTCATCAAGTCATCAAATTTTATATATGATTGTATTAAGCAACTGGTAATAGAATGGCAGCCCAACAGTGAAGGGTAAAACCATAATATAATTTTGTTCAGAACAAAAAAAAAGATATGGAAATTTAACTGGAAAATGACATAATATTTTTGAAAAATTATAATAAAATGGATTGCATGAAAATTTATACTAAAATGCAACAAAGCATCTTAAAATACTGAACAGACAGATCCTAGTTTCCTCACAACAGCCAGAACTATCTGCTCAAGGTCCATTCAGCTTTCATAGATGATGGGCTTTATTCCAGGCACACATAAACTCTTGTTACCCAAACTGACATTTTATATTTCTAAAGCTAGGTTTGAGCTGGCTGCTATTTTAAATGTCTCATAGAATATCATATTTCATGTTCCACTGGCAATCACATCAGAAGCCATCTGATATTTCTAATTAACTAGGCATTAATTGCTTGGAAATCTTCCTGTTCTCAAAATAACAGAAGCTTGAATATCTGCTGCTCTGGGGAAAATATTTGAAGCAAGATGATAAGCCTTATATGTTTCACAAAATTCGGGACTGTTTTGAGCACTCTTCTGTCAATTCTCTGTCATATTTAAATCATTTACTTTACATTAAATTAGGTCAACTAGCATCAAAGCAAAATAGTGATTATGAATCCTTACACACCATGCAATTAGAGCACTATAAATCCATATTAATTTCCATTACACATACTATGGAATCCAAGGATTTCTAGTTTGAGAACTAATGATAAAAGTGCTAACTCCTCCTCCTTGAATTACAAATACCAGGTTTCCATAGAATGAAGCTATAGCAATTAAAGCGGAATCATATGCATTCCAATTTAATTGCCATGGTTCCACTCTATGAAAACACAGAAGGCCTTTAAAATCACACAATTTAATTCTCTCACATTTGGAAGACAAGTTGTTTCACAATGCAAGAATGGGGAAAAAACAGGATTCCCATTTTAAAAGACGATTAATTATTACTTACCTCATCCCACTCTAAACGGTAGCTGGTGATTTTTGAACCATTGTCAGCTGGGGCCTGTGGATGGAAAACCAAATAAATTTGATAGTGGGATAGAAGTTGGCAAAGAGTTTACAATAGGCCCAAACTTTGGAAATCCCTATGGCTAGGAGTCCGAATAGATGTGGACCCATTGTGGGATCCCTAAATGTTTATGGCTTTCCATTTTAATGCTTTTCTGGTAAGAAGGAAACGTTTAAAAAGTCTTGGGTTTCTACAAAGCAAACCTGATACCTAACTCTTATGTTACACCTGTTGTATAGTGGCTCCAGAGGGAAAAAAGTATTAACTGAAGTATAAAACATGTCCTGTTAAATCCATTGCAAGACTACTTTTTGGTGCCTCATATTATTTTGAATTATGGAAATTGCTTCAGATTTCCAAAGAAAATGTATACTAAAGAATTTGCTTCATATCCTGCACTTCTCTCACAATTTTTTTAAAAAAGCTTGTCAATACAAAAGAATTAAACCTGACATCTGTCAAAAAAACAAAACACAAGAGCACTGTTAAAATATTTAAAACAAAATAAAGCAGAAACTGTCATTTGCCACAAAATGTGTTTTAAAAAAGTGTGGAAGTGAGAGAGAGAACTGACTGCTTGGTCAGATGGGGGAAACATCTCTCCTGCCCAATGCAATGTCTTTTCATCCACAAATGTTGTTAAAAGCATAATGTATGCTTATGTAGCTTACCTTCCATTGCAACGTCAAAGAATTTTTGGTCCTGTGCGATGGTTTGGGTGGGAATGGGCAATCTGGAACACAGCTGTGAGTTATAAAGCTGACAGGTTCTGAACAAGATCCCTTTACTGAATTGTACACTGCATATACCCTGAAATAGAGAATGAAAATGTGAGATCATATCTATCTATCTTCCAGCGTCATGAAAGAAGCAAAGACCACCAGCACTGAAGCGATGCTCCTATGCCATCAACTCTGCTGTACTGGCCATGTTGTCTCAATGCCTGATCACCCTCTCCCAAAGCAATTATTATACTCCCAATTCAAGAATGGAAAAATGAATGTTGAAAACGGAATGTTGGTGGACAAGAAAAAAGATTTAAAGATGGTCTTAAAGGTAACCTTAAAAACTGTGGCATAGACACTAAGAACTGGGGAGCCCTGGCCTTTGAGCATTCTAACTGGACGTCAACTGTGACCAGCAGTGCTGTGGAATTTGAAGAGGTATGAATAGAGGGCAAAAGGGAGAAACATGCCAAGAGGAAGGTACATCAAGTCAACCCTGACCAGGACCAACTTTCACCTTGAAAGTGATGCCCTCACTGTGGAAGAACATGCGGGTCAAGAATAGGGCTTCACAGTCACCTATGTATCCACCGCCACAACACTACACTTAGAAGGCCACCTGTAATGAATCCCTTACCTTAGCTGGCTGCCTGATAGCCTAAGGGTGTGGGCTTGGCGAAGCCACGGCATCCATTTTAGAAAAGGGAGACAGGGAGAAACCATTTTAATTATGTTTGCCTTGAGGGGGTGTGTTCAGGTCTTGGAGGGAAAATTAGAAGGCTAGGATTGGCTAGAAAGATGGGGGTGGAGCCTCAGTGATCTAGAGGGAAAAAGTATCTTTTAAACTGAGGCTTCAAGTTTTTAGTTAGGGTTTGGAGCTGTTAGAGAGAAGAAGTGTTGGTGTTAGGGAGAGCGAGTTTGGGTTTGAAGAAGAAGATTGGGTCAGTCTTTTGTGAAGTAGCTATTGAGTAAATAGCTAGAATACTGTGTGGAGCAGTACCCAGTTAGTAGACTGTTCAATTCCTAAGGAAGTTAGTTCAGGATATTTTTGGCTAGATTCCTAAGGGGCATTGTTTGGGAGTTACTTTCAGATTCATTTCCTGAAGTAATTTTCTGTGGTGGAACTTTGAAGACTTGTAACCCAGAAGTTTTAAGATTTTGACTCTAACGCAACCACAAGCTTTTTATGCCAGTATTTTACTGAAACTATTAAGCATTTGTACCTGAGTAATTCAAGCCTGTTCAATAAACGTTCTTGTTATTTTTAACAACTTATACCAGCCTCAGTGTGAATACCTTTGTGTCAAAGTACTACTGAAGTCAGTTTCACAGCAGTCTCTAAGAAATTATAGTGACACAGAGTGTATTACAGAACAAAATCTCAAATATTACCTCAGTCTGATTAATATTGAAATGGTGGCAGCGGAATTCATTTGAAGAATCATTTTAAATCTCTCAGTTCCAGTGATTTCCAGTTCCTAACTTTTAAATATACAGTTGGTTTCAACAACCATACTCCCTCTTCCTTTTGTGAGTAATTTTGGTTGAGCAGCGTTGGGATTATATTATAGATTTCCCAGTCTATAAATTTTAATTAAAATCTTTCTCTACATCGCTGCTTTATTATACCACCATACTTGGACAACGAGGGATTGCCTAAGTAAGTAAGTAAGTAAGTAAGTAAGTAAATAAGTAACCAGCCAGCCAGCCGTGTATCTGATTCATTACATTGCATCTGAAGAAGAAGACATTTATTTTGCCTTTTCAAAACTATGTGTTTATAGTCATAGAAATTACACTGGTTACTTGGGGTGCATTTCCACTGTAGAATTAATGCAGTTTGACACTATTGTAACTGCTACGGCTCAATGGTATGCAATTGTGGGAGCAGGTCTTCCAGGCACAGGCCATGTCCCCATAAATACAGATCTAGTGATCCTGGGACAAGTTATGGTGCACAATAGAACTAGCACTTGGACAATATGGGACTCATTGACCAAATGAGAATGATAAAGGATAGGTACAGTCAACACACAAAAGGAGCACTGAGCAAAATGGGAAAAATATGCAGTATGATAAAGGATGCATCTTCAAAAGGGGAGGACCCCCATAATGTTATTGGGCCCTTTGGATTGGTTTAGAGAGCATTCCAGCTCCTGGAAGAATTCCACACTCTGCCACACTCAACAGTGACATAAGAACATGAAAAAGTGCCATGCTGAATCATACTAAATACATTCTCAGTCCAACATTGCTTCTGTTCCCGTGTGATTTAAGACAAGAGAAATCATACCAAATAGGTCCAGTACACCACAGCTTATGAACTAGTTGACGTTGATTAAAAGGAAAATGTGGCATAGGGACAGGGTAGACATCTGGAGACAAGGTTAGATCCAAGAGCACCAATTCTTCCAGCAACAGTGAACCTGATCCTTTATGGCATCTTCCCCCATCCCCCACGTGAAGCATTCACTTATTTTCCCTTTTTTCAGCTTACTTCTAAAGAACCCACTACCTCCCAAATGTCAAAATCAAACCTGAATTCCAAAAATATAGAAACACTGTGCAACTGACTTCTACAGAATTCAGCTGCAGTATTTACATAATCTAACATGGAACGGTTTCAATCTTGGTCAAGGGTATTGTCCCCAAGCTGAAAAATGCCTTCCAGGAAGAACTGCCAATTATTTCCTGATGGCTGGTGAGAATTAGAACAAATTGAATACATGTATAGACTCTCCCATCTGGAAGCTTGGCTTAATAATGCACACACAGCATGCAGAATGCCTGCTGCCAAGGCTCAAGATGTATCTGTATTATCTGCAGGCAATGATTCAAACTGGACAGAATTTCACGAAAAGGGAGAAAAAAGTAATCACTGTGTAAAAGCATTGATTACCTCAGTTTTCCTACAATGCATCCAGCCTTTGTAATCTTACCCAAGGTTAAGATGTTATTGTTGTGTGCTTTCCAGTCATTTCTGACTTCTTGAGACCCTGTGATGAGAATATCAGGGGGTTTCCTGGCAAGATTTGATCAGAGGTTTGCTTTTGCTTTCCTGTGAGCATGAGAGATGGTGACTTGTTTAAGGCCACCAGCTCTGGTCTCCAGAGCTGAGACGTCCAATGCTCAAACCACTACATCATGCTGGCTCTAAAGGTAAAATATCCATATGAAAATAAAAGATGAAGAAAAAGACTGCAACCACCCAGTCATTGATAGGAGAGTTGTGGTGGCCTTGCTTCAAAGATGTAAACTCAACCCAAGCAGAGGAGTTTGGGAATGTTTCTTTTTGAGATTATGACCCCAAACAGCACTATTAAGAGGTTACTGGAATTGCATTTACTCCAATCTGATGAAATTGATCTAAGTCTGAGAAAGCTTTAGGCTACCAACTTATTTCGCTCAAAGTGCTGCAAGATCCCTTTGATCCAACTAACTTGACCATGTCTTTGGATATTAACACAAAAAGTAACTTTACCAGGTGCTGGGGATTATGCAGCATTGAAAGAGAATTTTTACAGAACCATATTATCAAATCTAAGAGAGCCCCATGTCCACTTACAGTTTACTAAACTCAATTTATTTTGCAAGTGAATATGCCATTATTCTAACCATAAAATGCTCTCCTACTTAACAATGGAGTAGCCCACAAGAATTTTAACTGAATTCATTTTTTCAAGGTAGAACACAAGTAAGTTTGTGTGATCCATTAGCCGTGATTGCTCTTTTTCCAATGTGGTCCAAACAGAAGGTTGGAAGAAGCAACTTGGTGTGGTCTGATCCTGTTTTAGAACTAGCACTGCTTGAGAGCGGATAGACCAGTTATAACCTAGGAACCATGTCAGTTAGTGTCTCATTCAAGACATCTGCCTGGCTTTAGTCCCAGTCTCTTAGTCACCACATAATACTAATATAATGCTGATGTACATTAAAAGGTTGTTATAAAGATGACTGAGAATGCATATGAACTTTTTAATGCATAGTGAAGTTATGATAGCTATGCGAAATACTAGTGTTTTCACTCTAACTGTTGTTCAAGCTCAGCTTATAAATGCAGACACAGATTGATTTTTCACCAAAGAAGTCCTAAATCATTCTGAATTCTCTAGTGTTCAGAGTAGCTAGATAAAACATTAATGCATCTATAGTGTTTTTTGAACAACTTCTAAAAAGAATAAAGTGATATAAAGAAACATCAATATTCCTTAATTATCACACACACAAGGCACACTCACATACAGGAAATGTGTATGGTCAATTTAGCAATGGAAGTTGATTCATCCTGGAAAGACGTAACAGATCTACATCCAATAAGACATTATTAATCTAAGATGTTGAAAAGCATAGCATGTTAATCTCACACATCAGAACAGAGAAAGAAGTAATGAAGGGTTGAGAACAGTTTATCCCTGTGAAAATGTAAAACTTCTCAAAACACGACCAAGGTTGAAAAGTCCTAGGCCTAGAATGACATCATGATTTTCATGTTGTGTGTTTTATTTCTTGGACTAATTCAGATTGTATCCCCACCAACTGCTAAAATAACATAGCAAGTGATTATTTGCACTTGCTATGGTCAGAGTTTGGCTGTATCTCAGATCCAGCTGGCCACTTCCCCTGTTTTAAACATGTTGTTAATATTCTTTGTATCATATTGACTTGGCACTTTTATAAAGGATATTATTTGAATATTTGAATACAGAACTGAAGAACATGCAGGGCACATAAGGGGGATGTGTCTACCTTTCGCCAAAACAACAGAAAGGTGTTTAAAAACAATCTGCTGTTGAACTAGGGATGGGCAAACTGTGACCCTGCAGCTGCATGTAGTTCCCAAGACTGCTTTCATGGCCCTGATCTCACAACTTCATTTTTGGGATTCCAAGATCCCAAAATCACTTTTAAAGAGGTTGCAACTTCTCCTCTGTGAATTGTTTTAAAAATACCCACTTCTGAACAATTGTATTTTGTTTTTGTCCTCATTTTTAAACATTTAAAAATGTATGATGCCCATACCCATCCAACAATTCCATATTGGTGTGATGCTTAGCATCTTTGCTCAAAAGCTAAATACACATTCACGCTTCAGATGAGACAGAGCTCAGTGGGATAACACATGCATTGTGTGCATCAATTCCTTGGCATCTACATAGGAACAGTTAAAACTATAAGAAAGATGATTCCATTTGAACATGAGGAAGAACTTCCTGACTGTGAGAGCTATTCAGCAGTGGAACTCTCTGCCCCAAAGTATGGTAGAGGCTCCTTCTCCAATTATTTTCCAATTAGCTTTTAAACAGAGGTTGGATGGCCACCTGTCAGGGGTGCTTTGAATGCGATGTTCCTGCTTCTTGCAGGGGGTTGGACTGAATGGCTCATGAGGTCTCTTCCAACTTTGTGATTCTATGACTCTTTTGAAACTCCAGAAAGCAGCTGTCAGTTGGTGTTGATAATAATAATGGGCAAGATGGACCAATTTATGGTCCATGTTCTAAATTAAAGTAGTGTAAAGAACAGTGGTATGTTCCATAATGGAATGTCAAAGTCACCTTTTTTAATGTCCTGAGATTAATGTAAACTTTGTGTTTGTATTTTAGCATGCATTTCTCAGTCATTTTCTGTTCCGTTGAGGCTACTTTAATGACACTAATTTCAAAGTATTTAGTTTCACTTATAATTATAAAAAAGGGATGTTGCTGACATGCTCACTGACAGCAATACCAAAAATTGTTAACCAACAAAAAGTTGGCAATAGGCGTTTTGTGAATGGGGCTGTAAGAAAAAGTTTAAGTACACAGTGTGGAAGATAGTTATTATCATGCCTACAGTATAGATACAATGAAATTTGGCACTGCAGAGGCTCCCAATTAGCATTAAATTGGAATACTTGAAATAAGTACCAGGAATTTAAATCCAGTATAGAGACCCAGCTTGATGTAGTGGTTTGAGCTTTGGATGACAACTCATAATACAAATCCTTGCTTGGACATGGAGGTCCACCAATGATCATGAGTAAGTCTCATACTCTCTCAGCCTTGGAGAAAGGTATGTGCAAGCATCCTCTGAACAAATCTTGCCAAGAAAAACCCATGATAGGGAAACAACGTGAAAACAAACAACAACCATAATATATGTGTTTGGTTTTTGCTCTTCCACATGTTTTGCAGTCTTTCCAATTGTGGATCTAATGGGATTTTGCATGTCAGATAGATAAACTTTTCAAAAACATTTATATCCTGTGTATATGTTTATAAAATACAAGTTACATCCATTCATTAATTTACAGGACATAATATACTCAGGTAGGTTATTGTCATATAACATAAGGACATGTTCCTATAATTATAATTTGCTTCAACACTTCAAATCAGACGTGTCAGTAAGCTATGTATGACCTCTGTCAAGCAGCAGCATATTGAGTTGCATCAAACTTCAGTCATATTTAGAAAGGATCCGCTGAAGGCTTTTGCCTTGCCTTCCCATGCTAAATAGATGTAGGGCTTGATTTGCTTTTAGACTGAAAAACAGAGCTATGTCCTGAATATGTGACATTGTTCTGCTTTAATGTTCAAAGGAATTAGCAAACTGAGACATTTGCCTTTTGGGGGAGAGTGAAGGTGGAATAAATATTTAACCAAAACTGAAGCATCATATTTTTTTTTAAGTGGAAACATTTACACTATTGTATTCTTATCATTCAGCAACATCTAAAGCACTTTTTCCCTTCACTTGAGAAATGATACTCTCTCTCTCTCTCTCTCTCTCTCTCTCTCTCAATCTCTCTCTCTCTCTCTCTCTCTCTCTATATATATATATATATATACTACCATGGATTTGAAAACAACAGCAGGTAAGAAGATATATGACCTGTGAGCTATGGAAAATAAAATGAGCATAATATTCATTCCTGTGCTGTCAGAGAAGCAGAACATTTCATCTGTTGCAGTTCATTTACTTTACAGCAAATGTCTAAAATATGGTACTTGTTGTCATCCATATGTGATTTTGACAATCCCATACAAATTTGGGAAATACACTATAAACACCGACAGGTAAATGCAGTTATAAACATTTACTTGGATATACCATATATACTCAACTATAAACTGAGTTTTTCAGCCCTTTTTTAAGGCTGAAAGAGCCTCCCTCGGCTCATACTTGAGTCAGTGTTATTTATTATTTTATTCTGTTGTTGTTGTTGTTGTTATTATTATTATTACATTTCTTATTTTACTCTAATATTACTGTTATTATTACATTTCCATTATTTTACTCTATTAATAATAATAATAATAATAATAATAATAATAATAATAATACATTTGTTATTGTACTCTATTATCACTGGTATTATTACATTTCCATTATTTTACTGTATTATTATTGGAAGGATACATAAGCACATTGAATTGAAGAAGGTTAGAATAATGGTTTAATCAGAATTGGCGTCTTATCTTAAATTACAGTTTTATGTAAATATGAAAAAAACATTTAACCTTCTGATGTCTCCATCCATGTAATTTTATTGGTATCTAATTTACTTTTGAAATTTACCAGTAGCTGTGCATTTAGGTGCCTTGGCTTATATTTGGCTCAGATTATACTCAAGTATATACGGTATTCAAAGTGTAGAGAGATGAATGTCGCATTCAGTCACTCTCAAAATCCATCTTTCGTGTTAATATTCACATGAAAATGTCAATATTAATCAGGTTTTGGACATCTGCAATACTATCTATAACTGGATAAGAAGTGAAAACACCTTCCAACCTCTGTAGCTCACCTGACATAATATTCTGTTGCTGGCCGAAGGTCTTTCAGTTTATATTCCAATTCTTCTCCACTGGAAAGAAAAATACACTTTTAAGAAACAAACAGTATTACATTAATTCCACATGCCATACTGTATACTCTACTCCCCGAAGACTTTAAAAACCAGGAAAACTATTTCATAAAGGCTGGCAACAATTTTAAATTATTGTAAAAAAATGTCAAAAGTCAACGTTGAGTGTGGTTAATTTCAAGGTTGGACAGGATACAAACCCAAGATTGGGCAGGGTTCCCATAGTGGGGTACACTGTACATTTTGGTTTTCTTTAAAAATGAAGCAACTGTCTCTCACATAGCAAACACATACACATTTGAAAAAAATTGTGTCATAGAGCCTATTAATTTTATACCAGGGGACAACATTTTGCAAAGCCTTCCTCCATGTGAGTTTTTGAAAGGCATTCTGCTATATCTCTTCTTTTTATTATTCCACTTGAACTTAGGTTTTAATGTTTGTTCCTTATGTGAATTCCTCTGAGATTACAAGTTGAAGGGCAATATAAACAATTGATCAAAATAATGTAAATATGAAGCATTTGGGGATTGCATGAGAGGGCATTTACAGCCAAGCAGTAGTGATGTGGCTGCTAAGACAGTGTCTGTTTTTACAGAAAACTCAATGTGTATCAGCAACTAATGTAACTTAGGCAACAGAAGTCAACTCCATGTAAACTAGCTGCATGAACAAATGTTTTTCCTATATCATCCATGATTGATCAGATACACATTTCTCTTCCTAGGGATATAAACCACTGATGCATAAAGAGAAAGTCTCTAGTTCCATGGACAATACTGTTTCTTATTAAGAACAGGTGACATCAAAGTTATGGAAAAGCAGTTGTGACATCAAGCTTGTGGATATGTTATCAGATGGAAAAAAGCAATGCCATAAATTTCTTTACTAAAGGGCCTCTCTTCTAGAGGAAATGTATGGACTGCACAGTAGTCAAGTTGGCATGTCCCCAATATTCCACTCTGGCAGTCATTGGGATATGTATATAAATACTTAGCAGGTGACTTTTCCAGCTGTTCAACACTTTGGAATAAAAACGAATGAGAAAGGAGGATTCAGAAGGAGAGGGAAATAGGAAAAAGAGAGGTATGGAGATGGGAGGAACATTTTGCTCAATTCTGGAAATAATAAACACAGTTGTGGTTCTCTCTACATCTCCACCTCCAGGGTTTAGGTATTTAAAAAGGTGTGTGTAAAATCACATGCAAACATCTACCTGTAAATCATTTTGTATTTTCCATCCCTCCCTTTGTCTGATAAGGCAACTTCGTAAGTACAGGAATAAGGCAAACCATTGCTGTGTCTATCTCCACTTAAAAGGCCATTTGGAGGTGACCAGGTGAGCAAAACTGTTCTTGCTTGAATATTTGAAACCTTAGGAGATAAAAAAAGGTTAGGTTAATATTAAGATGCAAACTGAAATTTTTAATACTGTGGGTGCACACATGCACATACATAAGCATCAATATCACCTATGATTTGCAATGAAGGGGGGGGGGCAGATACTTGGATTCAAATTTACTTTACTTCATTAAGTCAATGTCCGGAATGACAATTTCCCTTGTCCCCTTTACTGTGCCCTAGATTCTTGCCCCATAAAATTCTACTCTGGTGTTATGACTGCAGAACCTTGGTAGCAATTAAATTCACTCACAAGGAAATCTTGGAAATGTCTTTAATGCTAGGTTACTATTAGACAGTAAAGTTATGAATGAAGAAAACATGAGCAACATCTCAGTTTGAGTCCCCAAAACCCCACCCTCTCAACTCCTGAAAGTTCCTCTGTCCAGATTCCAGGCCTTCCAGTCTAAACCAGTTCATTTTATCAGTTTCCTTCTTGCTCACAGCCTCCTGTTGTTGTCATTCCTTGACCTTGGCTATGAAACTCATGGCATGGAGGTGTTTTAGTATCTCAAACACCAGATATGGATCCATGATATCTGAAAGGCTCCCTCAAAAACAAAAGAAGGGAGAGAAGCCAGAGATGGAAGAACTGCCTTTAATTGGGCAGAAGGGAATTGAGGAGGTTATCATTGGTCATCCAGCAGATCTTGGAAGGCCACCTCCTAAACATTTTTTCAAATGTGACTACACATCTCTCTATGCCTCCTAGGATTAATGGAGGGTTCACTATTTTTAGCCTTCTCTAGACAGGCCCCCCATTTCTCTTGTATCTAAAATACTCCCAAGGGCCCAGGAAATGTGGCGATTGTTTTGTCTTAATGAGTGGGGGCTTAAGGGGGCTGAGAACCCTAAGTCCATACAAACAGTCTTGGGAACTGTATGAAAGCAACAAACCACACTGAAATAGTCACACAGCAGAGACACTTAGTCTCAAAAACACTCTGTAATTTTTATGGAAGTTCAAACTGGCTCAGAGCTGTGATGTGCCAAGCTTCTCCCTCTATCAAAATCTGTGAGAGAATCTTGGGCTCCATCTGGATCAGCAGAGCTTTCCAAATATAACTCAAGCCTGTTGCAGTCTAGCAGATTTATGCTCTGTTCTGAAAGCAGCACACAAGTGAAACACAGATGGCTTTAGTAACACCCACTGGTTGCATTCCTGTGGCTGGCATTACTTATTTTACATACACTGAAGCATTAGTGTAATTGTTAAATGTTTTAAAATCTAATTTCCTTCTGAAGTTAATGTTTACATTTCCTTGTATTCACCTATGATGATAACAAAGCTTGTATCTGATGACGTGCACCCAAGTCAATGTAAGGTTAAAAGCAACCATCCCTAACATACCACAAGACTGGTTTTGCTACAAAACGCTGACAAAGTAACCCCTCAGGGGGAAAAAAAACATCTGTCTAGTATATTCTGAGAGCAATGATGTAGTAAGGCTATCACTATACCAAAAGGCTGAACCAGAGAGCTTCTGGCTTCAGTAGATTCCAGTCTTTGTATCCAAGACCTTCTGATTTAGTGAGGCATAGCACTGATGACATTGATTTCAGCAGAGTTCCTTAATATGTGGAGAAAGACCTCATTACATTAGTTTTCTCTTGTCTAGGCTTAGGAATAGAACCACTCTGAGTCCCTACGGGGAAGTAGGGCAGGATACAAAATAACTAAAGGAATTGCCTTTGTTTAACTATGTAGGATAGTTGGATAGACCTATGTAGTAGGATAGACCTATGTAGGTCCTCAGTATCCACTAGGGTTTGGTTCAGGACCCCCAATGGATATTAAAACCTGTGATGTTCGCGTCCTATTGCATACAGTGGTGTAGTAAAATAGTGTGATGTTCAAGTCCCATTATATACAGCGGTGTGTATGAAATGGTGAACAACCCAAATGAGTGCTGGAGAGAGCATGAGGATTGGTGAAATGGCAAGATGCTACAGCAGGATATGCCTACACCTCAGAGTAGTGCTCAGCATGCAACAAAATCAAAGTTGGTTTTTTAGAGATAGATAGATATATTTAGAGAATATTTTCAAGATGTTGATTGAATCTGGGGATACAAAACTTATGGATATGGAGGACTCACTATAGCCCCATAGCAAATGTTAACTCCCTTGTCCTTCTCCCAGCATAGATCTCATCTACAGATGCTGTTGTGGTTTGTGAGGGAGAGAAGAGAGAGGACAACTAGCATAGATACCGGGACTGCCAAAATCATATCTGGTTTTGGCCCTAATGTAACACGCTCATGTGTTCCATGCCACGTCCAAATTCTGAAATCTTTCACTGATCCAAGCTGTGACACCATAGAAATTATCTATAAGTGCAGTGAATCACTGCATTTTTGTACCAGCACATCTGTAGCTTTAATATTTTTCATAAAGCACTTTTGGAATTATTTAGATTCAACTCTTTTAAACACATTTATAGACCTTGTAGGTGAAATCTATCTGGAGGGGGAAGACTTCATGTAGCATTAACATTTTTCCGAGCTTATGTAAAAGCATAATTGCTTTGAGCACCTGGACTGATTAAAACTGGCATCAAATTAAGCCAGACGTCTGTAGCAAAAGCTCAATGTCTCAAATCACACGGTGCAATTAAAATGTCTCAGGTATCCTAATGGGATGGAACTGTAGCCAAGAATAGATACTTACAGCTAATAAACGGCACAATATTTTATATCAATTATGAGTTTTATAATTCAAAAACCTAAAATCAAAAAATGAAGACAAAACACACCCGAACTAGATTTCAGGGGGCAGACTATAAATCAGGAGAATTAAGTGAAAAAATGAACAGCCCTCCCCTTCCCCCCAACACTTCTTTTATTATGGACACATGGTTGCATAACTGTTTTGCATAAAATCAGACAGGGACTTGGAACTTAATGTACCATATCCAGCCAATGTTCTACTGCAATGGATTCTTTCCTTTATGATCACTAGCAAGGACACACGTACCCATGTAGAACATATGGCTAAACACAAAAACAAAAGCCTTTATCCTTTCATGAACTTTAATAATCTGCAGAATCCCCGTGAATAAAATGAATAGTGATTCCCACAGACTCCCTGGAAGAAGATCTTCAAAAACAAGGACAAGAATAGTAATGTCACGTATGAAGGAGGCAGTTGTTTGTATCATTGGTGCTGCTCAGGTAACAAATACCTTTTTGTCTGATTGACGGAGACTGAGACTATGGCTCTCTGTCTACAAGCAAGAGGCCACTGTGGATAAGGAGAGACCTGGAGGCCAAGACTTATGTTTGAAACTCCATTTTAGCCATTAATTCAGAGTGGTTCCAGATTTGAAGAACCTCCCAGTAGACATCCAACTGGTGGTCTCCTATTAGGCAGACTTACCTACAGGCAGGAGCTGAATCTGGAAAGCTGCCCGACCATGCTAAATTTCAAATCACTCTCTAGAGCACCTAATATCATAGGGATTATGTGATATTGAACAAGGTGTGAGGCTTGATATATTTATATGGAGAGCAAAATCAGGCTCAGTTGAATTGGGTCAGAAGACAGCAAGGACAAAATATAACCACAAGTTTTCATTTGGTCTGCACAATCTATTCACAATATTTTCTTAATTTGTGGATTCCAGCCATTCTAAAACACGAAACAGTTTGACATCCGAAACACTTCTAGTCCCAAGCATTTTAGATAAGGGAATCCAATCTGTAGTACAAGCTCAGAAAAGTTTACATAGCCCTGGTATTTATTTACATTTCTTTAATCTTGTGGCAGGAATTGAATAACCAATGGCCCTTCAGATATTGTTGGAACCATAGTTGTGTAATTGTGTAGTGTGAAAGGTCAGAGCTCAGAAAATGGGGACAGAACATAGTTCAGCAAAAGCCTTCAGGCCACACAAGTAAAGTGATCCAAGGATGTGGGCAACCCCTTATTTTCCCTCTATCATGTGAATTCACCCATCTGATAAAAGACAGGTACCTTGTTATGTGTGGGAGGAGGATTGGATGGGCTTTCTTTTCAAGCAAATGTGTTAATTATGACCACAAGCCATATACAGATTTCCTTCACTTTTGTGTGTCCTGCTCTGTTACCCACCAGTGGGGACAACACAAAGTGAAATTACATAGGAAAGGGACTTCTCGGCTGTGGACTGCTCTCTGACTGAAGTCCGACTGAAGAATGTGGATTTCTTTTTGATGCCAAGTCAAACCATGGCATTTCATTAAAGCTTAATTTATTTGAAAGTATTTTGTACATGGGCTTTAAATGCTTTTGAGCTTCTAAAGTGGATTTAACTATAGCTATGTTTTATCTTGTGTGTATATTTCAAGCATGGACAAACTTTGGCCCTCCAGGTGTTTTGGACTTCAACTGCCATAATTCCAAACAGTGGGTAAGCTGACTGGGATTTCTGGGAGTTGTTATCCAAAATACCTGGAAGGCAAAGTCTGTCTATATCAGATATATATGGTTTTAATCTGGAAGTATTTTAAACTATTGAAAGACCTCCTCAGATGAAGGCAGAGAAGAGTCTTCTCCCCGCTTCTCTGTGCTGCCAACATGGAGTCCTCTAGATCCCATCACAGGGCTACTTCTGGTGGGACTCCATGCTGGCAGTGTAGAGAAATGGAGCCCAGAGGAGTCGGGAATACATCTGACTCCCCATACAAAAAAGGCAGAGGAGCTGAAGAGGAAGCAAGGGACAGCGAGGAAATGTTGTGGGAAAGGATGGCACCCGACACTGCCTCACAATTTCCCCCGCTGCCTCCCCTTTACAAAGGGCCATCTGATAAGGTCCTTAGACTGTATACCACCTGATATTTCATGCTAAAGGACAAGACATAAGTGTTTCAATACATACATAGCTAGTTGAATACATACATGGACACATGTTTTATGTCAAATAGGGCAAGGGGAAAAGGTGTCCTATAGTAGATTTACACTGTAGAATTAATGCAATTTGGCACTATTTTAAA